TTTGATGGGGTTTGATGGGGTTTGATGGGGTTTGATGGGGTTTGATGGGGTTTGATGGGGTTTGATGGGGTTTGATGGGTTTGATGGGTTTGATGGGTTTGATGGGTTTGATGGGTTTGATGGGTTTGATGGGTTTGATGGGTTTGATGGGTTTGATGGGTTTGATGGGTTTGATGGGTTTGATGGGTTTGATCGATTGATCGATTGATCGATTGATCGATTGATCGATTGATCGATTGATGGATTGATTGATTGATTGATTGGTTTGATTGATTATGACTACATTTATGATTAAGAAGGAGACGGAGAAGGAGGAGATTGACAGAAGAAGAATCATAGATAGATACGTGTCGACCTACAGTACAATCAATCTGCGCGGAGAGAGAGAGAGAGAGAGAGAGGAAAAAAAAGAGTCGATTCAATGGGTATCTGGAGCAGCAGCAACACAACTTGATGCTTTCTTTTTGGGTTTCTTTTCAAAATCACAACTTCGAACTCTCCTCATCCAGTTTGGCACTTGCTTGAATTTCCTTTGCCTCGGTTTCATGCCCGGCTTCAGACTCCTCTTCGGCCAGCCAGCCTTTGCACATCCTGACCGCTCGTTCCCATTTCTTGAACAGCTTCTTGCTGGCCACTTCTTCCATGACGGGCTCGAATTTAGTCTCGCCGGCCGTGTTGACCCCCTTGAGCTCGTCAAAGTCCTTCCACACCCCAGCGGCAAAGCCAGCGGCTATGGCGGCTCCCAGGGCTGTCGTTTCTCGCATCTTGGGTCGAATGATAGGGATGCGGACCAGATCGGCTTGTGTCTGCATGCACAGCGCTGAATTACTCATGCCGCCATCGACCTTGAGTTCGGCCAGCTTGTGTCCGCTGTCCTTCTCCATGGCATCGAGGATAGCCTTGGTCTGGAAACAGACGGCCTCGAGCGTAGCGCGCGCAAAGTGTCCGCGCTTGGTGTGATGGGTGATGCCAAACTGTTAACGATCTATTAGCTCATTCACATGGGAGTTGCGCGGATGTCCCCTACCATGGTTCCGTGCGCATCGTCAATCCAGTACGGCGCAAAGAGGCCGCTGAACGCAGTGACAAACACAAGACCACCATTGTCGGGAACCTGCTCTGCAAGCTCTGAGATTTTGTGGCTGGCATGGCTGAAGCCCAGATTGTCCATCAGGAATTTCACACCAGAGCCTGCAACAGCGATACTTCCCTCCAACGCATATATGGGCTTGCCAAAGTCATAGGCCACAGTCGCAAGCAGCCCATGTGTGGAGATGACGGGCTTCTCGCCCACATTGTACAGCAAGAAGCAACCTGTGCCGTACGTGTTCTTTGCCGAGCCAGGCTCAAAGCCTTTCTGACCTACTAAAGCTGCTGACTGATCGCCTAGGCAGCCCATGATGGGGAAACCTTGCAGTGCTCCGGACTGCAGCTGACCAAAAGCCTTGGCGTCGGAAGACGGTACAATCTCTGGGAGATGGATCTTCCGAATGTCGAACTCGTATGAGAAGAAGTCGAGCAGCTGGTCGCTGTACTTGAGCTTGTGGATATCCATAAACATGGTTCTGCTGGCATTGGTCGGATCCGAGACGAAGACGTTGTTCGAAGGGCCGCCATTCAGCTTGTATATGAGCCACGCATCGATGGTGCCGAATGCGAGTGTGCCTGCCTCATAAGCTTTCTTGACCTTGTCTTCGTTCTTGAGAAGCCATAGGAGCTTGGTGACAGACGGGTAGGTGGAGATGGGAAGTCCACAGATATCTGTCAGCTTGTCGCTATCCGGACGTGCCTTGAGTTCTCGTGCGAGTGCGGCCGTTCGAGTATCCGTCCATACGATGGCGTTGTACAGTGGCTCGCCGGTCTTGTTGTCCCAGACGACGGTTGTCTCTCGCTGATTCGTGATGCCTATAGACTGAATGCTAGCTTTCGAGTAGCCCTTGCTCTCGAAGTCTTTCAATGCGCCCTCTATACAATTCTGTACGGACTGCACAATCTCTTCGGGGTCATGCTCGTGCCAACTGCATCCGGATTAGCGAATGACGGTTCCTGCTAGCGTACAGAGGGAAACTGACCCTGGGTTGGGATATATCTGGCTAAACTCCTCCTGATGTACCGCAACAGGCTCGCCGTTCTTGTCGAAGATGAGGAAGCGGGAACTCGTCGTGCCTTGGTCGATGCTGCCGACAAACACTTCCTCGGGTGGAGCCATTTGAGCGGTGCAAGGCGCAACGTCACGGTGTGGCAGCAGCGGAGGAGCAGTGATTGGGGCGGCAGCGCAGTGTTTATGGACGACACGGACACATTGGCGGAAGAGGACCGAGCTGTGGGCAGCTCCCCCGAGCGGTCGCTGCTTCGGAGCATGTGCAAATGCTCTCGTGAGGCTCAGGCCGGGCCTGCGGGGGCGGGGCAGTAGGGTCCGGTGAAGGAGTGGGATTGGGACTTGGGACTTGGATCAGTTGCCCGCCTTTGAGCTTGGACCACCTGATCATGGCCGGCGCCGGGTTCAGGTGGCATCTGACTGGCCGCGGTGCACTTGGAGTTGGACGTCGTCGACGGTCGAACTAGGCCCATTCTGGCTGCGATCCGGAACGGTTCACCGCGGACACTTACTTAAGCGACTTGCCGCCGTCATCTGCGATCACGCGGGAAGCGGGTGCTGTCGGAGAGGCTCACGCCGCGGAATGCTGTCGTGTGTCGTATGCTGTATGTCGTGTCTGGTGAGGCCTGACGTGCAGCGGTGGTGTACAGCGTGGCCGTGATCGTAGTGGTCGTAGTAGTGGTGGTAGTGGTACTTCTGGTTGTTCTGCTCGGGTGCATGCTCGCTGCTGACTTCGCTCACTGGTGGCGTCTGTTGGATAAATTCGCAATTTTCCGCCAAGCAAATTGCCCCACCATCGCATGCTGGCTCGTGCAGATGCCACGCATGGTTCTCCAACTTCTCCAGACCCGGCGCCGGCGACGCATGAACTCCAGCGGGGCGTGGAGAGAACAGTGGACACTTTCTGCAATAATGCTGGGTCAGCTTTGCATTATTGTTGGGGAACGACTCCACCATAGCCTTCCAGACTTCCAGACTTTCACTTTCCAGACCGACCTTTTCCCACTTCACCTCAGCTCCTGTGTCAGACATGCCTGCGCCCATGTCCAGACTTTGATGAGCACTGCAATCAAATAGACTGACCTCCCAGGACTGCAATACCTTATTGTGTGTATGTACGTGTGCACGATGCAGGAACTCTGCCAGCCCTTGTCTGCTCATTTCTCTCCCATCCACCCACACACACACACTCTCTCTCTCTCCAGTAGTCTCGGAAGTAGTAGGGACTCTAGGGAGTAGTGACCTCTGTACATCGCTGTTGTGAGTGCCTCTGTGACAAGCTGAGCCTGCTGCAGTACCAGAGTACCTCGAGTATTATTGCCTGTAAGGAGCTGCTAAGAAACTGGCCAAGATTGCGGAGAACCATGCGATCCCACGAGCCTCGCGATCGCCGACCGTATGTACTCAGCTTCTGCGTTGTTCATGATGCTCCTGGCTGCTGCACGCCAATAATAAAAATACTTCGGTCACTTGCTGTCGTATTCAACGTGCAAACGCTGGAACGGGCGGAAAACAACGCAGTGTCGTTGAGGTGGCGTCGTGGCGACGATGCAACTGTGTGCGGCGAGGATTCCATCTTTGCTCAAGCTTGCTTCCGGCTGTCCGAGGAGTATAGCTCAAAGCGGCCTGGCTTGCCCAGTCTGCACCTTAGACGGAGGAGGAGGAGGAGGAGAACACGGCTGTGGCAGTAGTCTTGCAATAGCCTTGGCAGCAAGGTCAGACACTGGTTGTCACTCTGGAGTCTCTTGTCATCAAGTGAACTAGGAGATAGCCCTCCAGACTTTACAGTAGAGTTTGCATCCTGGCCATGAAGCTCTTTGCCCCTATGCGAGAACCACCTGACTTCCCTGCAGAGCCATTGAGAATTATGTACAGCTCTTGGTGGCCACGGCTCTGAACACCTTTCGGAAAACAACCTGCAGGCTGGGTAAAATGGTAAAAGGCCGGGCCCTGCTTCCGACCTTCTTACCTCGAGGGAAGTATCGTAATCGTGATCAGCTCATGAATGAGATAGATAGTCCTCTCGTCCTCCCCCAATCATGCCCACGTGGACTGAGTATTTGCTTTCTTTCCGTCTCACAGCAATCTCGCCCTAGATAATTCTGTGCTTCATTCATACACCCACACCCACACCCACACACCTCGTTGAGGGTGTGCTGCAGCCATACAAGATGATGAAGGCCCAAGAGTCCTCCGAACACCACGAGCACGACTTTCAGTATTTCGGAAAACACGGCCTCCACGACGACGGCTTAGTGACCATGACACACACCGAACGACGACGTTCTGATTCTGATCCACTGTCCGAGGTCGCACCTGCCACTCCGGCAACCGTGGAGTCCGCCGCCTACGCTGAAGCCGGAGCGCCCATCAACCGCAGCCAGACAGCAGAGCAGAAGAAAGAATCCAATTCTGCTCTGAAATGGAGCAGACTTCGAAGGATGTTGCGAGAGCCCTTCTCGGAATTTATGGGAGTCTTCATTCTCATCATGTTCGGCGATGGTGTCGTCGCTCAGGTGGTCCTCAGTCACGGCCAAAAAGGCGATTACCAATCCATCTCGTGGGGCTGGGTCAGTTCGGTCCTTGCATAGTGAACGTGATTCCGAAGGTGCTGCTGACTGGGAACCTAGGGTATCGGTGTCATGCTGGGAGTGTACGCGTCCGGTATCTCAGGAGGTCACATCAATCCTGCTGTGACCTTTGCCAATTGCGTCTTCCGCGGCTTTCCATGGAGGAAGTTTCCGATCTATATGTTGTCGCAGGTTCTTGGTGCAATGACTGCCGCAGCGGTCGTGTACGGCAACTATCGGTCGGCTATCGATGCTTATGAAGGCGGTGTTGGAATCCGCACGGTTGGAGGGGAAAACTCATCTGCTGGCATCTTCTGCACATATCCTGCTGCTTTCATGACGAGGACCGGCATGTTCTTTTCCGAATTCATCGCCAGCACATTACTCATGTTCCTGATTTACGCCATCAAGGACGATCACAACATCGGAGCCAAGAACCTCACTCCGCTGGCGTTGTTCTTCATCATCTTTGGCATTGGTGCTTGCTTCGGTTGGGAAACGGGCTATGCAATCAACTTGGCTCGAGATTTCGGCCCGCGATTGACGTCGTATATGATTGGGTATGGCCACGAGGTCTGGTCAGCTGGCGGATAGTGAGTGCAGTCCTTTCGTATAGTGCAAGTGCAGAAGTCATGGAAGTGATGCTGACTGCACCCCTTCAGTTACTTTTGGATACCCATGGTGGCCCCATTTCTTGGCTGTTGCTTTGGCGGCTTCCTGTACGATGTCTTGCTCTTTACCGGACAGAGTCCAATTAACACACCATACTGGGGCTTCTACCGGATTGTGCCAAGCCTGCGTAGGAAATATGCCGGGACTCGGTGGGACGAAGAAAATGTGAAGAACGACGAGTGAGGCAGCAGCGTCGAGATGAAGACGAAGAAGACGTGTAGTCCACTTCCAATGTGTGAGGCTTCGGCAATCTTGCTCCGAGCAAGTCGCCGAGGATTATCCCTGCTTCAGCAGAGAGTAAGGTAAGGTGGAGGTAAGGCAGGAACACACGCAGCTACATGTAGCTGATATTGGATGTGGCAACTGCGACGAGATGTATCGACGCATGACGAGACAAAAAATAAGTTAAGGAAACGGCCGTTAGATCGCCTCACGTACCTGATATTTCAAAGCGTTCGCACAGGAGTGCAATAATTACCTGATCAGGAAACGCAGCACTTTTATTCTCATCATTCCATCTGGTGTCTGCTTGGACGGCCGCCACGGTCGCACTCGGGGAGAAGGCCATCACGATCCTGACGGCAAGACTCGTTTGGCATGGCCCGTCTGGCGATACAGAAGCCACCGGATGGACGAGCCTGTCCGCGAGCGAGGGCACCATACAGCAGTGCTGTAATCGGTATCTACAAGTCTGTGAAAAGGCAGATGGGGGAGCAGCTAGACGGCCTGGCCTGGCTCGGGCCGAAACTCGCCGGGCCATCGAGTCCCCAAAACCTGAGGCAGCCAGTCACAGGTCCCACTGCCCGCCCTGCTGTCCATTGCGGCGTCCAAGCCACAGGCTCATCGGCATCCGCGCACATGGCACCCCGATTGACTTCCTAGCAAGGTTGAGATCAGGTTCTCATCCACTCCAACCTGCACACACCCTGGCTTTCCGTGCTCGTGCCTGGCTTCGCTTCCTGGCAACTTGTTGGTGCGAACCTGTCTCGGAGGCTGAGCCACAGAGTCCAGCTCCACCACCACAAGGGAGGCAGAAGACCAAAGGCCGAAGCCACAGATGTGCATGTCAACCTGAATCCAATCGCCGCCAACCGCCTCTGACGCCAGCCGTCCTGCTTACCGACCTACCTCACCTCCTGCATACTACCTGATTCTGACTGCATCTTATTAGTATTATCGTATGTATGCACAATGTGGGCAGAAGTTGGTACTGGTCTGGTCGTACCTTGCCTGCCCTCGGTGCAAGTGAGCTCCAGCTCCAGCCACAGCATCCAGAGCTTCCAGCAGGCTGATTCCTTGATTTCAGCTCGACGAGGTCCCTGGATGACGAGGGTCAGTCGTGTCGAAGCAAGGTACATGATGTATTGCCGATCATTGCAGCAACGGGCAATCGGGCATTGCGTGTGCCCATCTGTGAAGCACGTTGCGAGCGGGAAGCCACCCCAGTGTCCTGTGTCTGTCCGGTGACGTTGGGCTGTGGCCCCAGGCCTGCAATTGTGTTCGCACCGAGCTCTACCACCTATAGCACGACAGCGTTGATGGACCCTGGGCGCCCACTGCAACGGACGAACAGGCTAGGTTAGTAGGTAGGCCTGGGTGCAGTATAAAGAAGGTCAAGTACAGACTGCTGCCTGCTGCTTCTTCTCTCCATCTCTCCAGAGAATCTCTCCAGGAATCACTCAGTCCTACATTGATCGCTATCCCTTCGCCACGAAACAACCAATCATGTCTTACCAAGATGACAACAACGGCAGCTATGGCAGCTCAGGTGAGTACCTAGCGTGTGGCGGCCTTTCTCGGAGAGCAGGCAAGACTGTCCTTATCTGACACGTATCAGGCCGCCAAGACACTTCTGGAGGATATGGAGGAGTATGTACCTGGACTGCAGATCCTATTCGATTGGCCTCGAGGACGCACACTTATCAGCATAGGACTCCGATCGCCTGGGTCGCGACACTAGTGACTCCTATGGCAGCAGTGGACGCACTGGCGGCCAGGATGATTCCTTCGGCAGCAGTGGACGCACAGGTGGCCTAGGTGACGACTCCTACCGAAGCAGCGGAGGTAATGGTGACAGCGATAGCTATGGCGTACGTCCTGCATCATCGCCCTAATTGCTTTTGATACGAAGGCTTATATTCGAATTGCTTGCTAACTGGTTTACAGAGGTAAGCAAACATGGCGACTCAGACTGGTGCTGGATGGGGAAACAAAACCTCCCATGGTTCCAACCTTCTGAAGGCTGACTCGGGGGGCGGATACAGCGGCGGAAACACCAGCAGCAACTATGGCTCAGGCACGACTGGCGGTGCAGGTGAATACTTCCAGATCTCAGGGTGTAGTGGAGGCGTTCATCTAATATGAGAACTAGGCTACGGTAACAAGACATCCAACTCCAACCAGAGCAGCTCTGGCCGTGACACCAGTGACACATACGGAAGCTCGGGACGTGACACCAGCGACACATATGGAAGTTCGGGACGTGACACCAGCGACACCTATGGAAGTTCGGGACGTGACACCAGCGACAACTATGGAAGCTCGGGACGTGATACCAGTGACAAGTATGAAAGTTCTGGACGTGATACCAGCGACACATATGGAAGCAGTGGCCGCACAGGTGGACTAGGCGATGATACTTATGGTAGCAGCAACAAGACAGGATCCTCCGGATACGGTGACGACAACAACTCGAGCAGCTATGGTGGGCAAGACAACCGCTCGTTCACTGAAAAGGCCAAGGACAAGCTGTCCAGCAAGCGCAGCGACCAGCCAGATGATCCCATCTCAGGTACCAACTATGGCGAGGACAGTGGTCGCGGCAACAACTCCTATGGCTCTAACGACAACGATGATTCATACGGCTCCGGCAACAAGAGTTCTGGCGGATTCATGGACAAGGTGAAGGACAAAGTCGGCCTCAACAAGAACAAGGGCGATGACAGCTATGGCTCTTCAGACAACTATTGAGTTGCTGGTCGTGACAAGGCTGGCGACTCATACTGCAGTCGTGGCCGGTAAGGTGTGGGGCACCTAGGCGAAGACACGTGTTTTGCTAGCACCAATAATGAGACGGTTTCTGGTGGTGGTTATGATGTATGAAACAACACTCTCTCCTGCAACATTTCCTGTCACTACGACAACTTTCCAGAATAGGCAATTGTCGTAGTCGTTGTCAAAGTCGTCCGGTCGTTCGTGGCAGCAATCCTCCACCGAACTGCCAATGGGGAAAAGACCTTGTGCGGATTCTCACCTGATCGTCCTCTATAGTTAGGTTCCAATATTATAACTGATCTGATGTTGTTGCTGTTCTGCTCCAGCTCCTTGGCTCTCTCGGTTCCTACCTCCTAAGCTACCAAGCAATTCTTGGCTCTGAGTATCCTGAACCTGAGTTCTTCTTGATAGATTCAAGCGCTGTTCAATCGACAAGGATCATCTGATATCTCTTTGATATGACATGCTGTTATACTCGATGACTTGGACTACCTGAGAGGGGGTTTTTTTTTCTTATTGAGAAATGTTGAATATATCTTGGAGTACTAGGTAAGGTACAGGTACCTGTAGCAAAGGTCGCAACAGTTGTTACCTCGAAGTCAAGCTATAGGTATCGGATGAGGAGCTGAACACTGCCAAGGAACAAGGGACGGACATATAGAAAATCCGTCGACCGAAAGGAATGCCAATGACCTCACCACTTTCTCGTTTCCACTCTTTCACATGCATTGGAAGTACGCCTTGTACCTATACTAAGGTAGATAGGTAGGTAGCTACCTCATGCAGAACGTCGACCTCCTCCTCCTCCTCACCTCACCACCACCATCACCACCACCATAATCATCCGACATGGCAGCCCTGCTTAAGCAACTGCTTCATGCTACAAACTTCCAGTCTCCCTTCCTTCGCACTCTCGTCCCATCCATCGGCCTCGCATTCGGCCTCCAAGCCGCAGCAGGAATCCCCTCAATTTTCTTCCAAACAGAAAGATTCTACGACCTTTCAGGCTCGCTGACATATATTTCCTGCACCGCTCTGTCTCTCTACTTGCCCACCCTCCGAGCCCGACTCGCAGCAGGCCCATTGGGCACTGCACCGCCTTGGCCCAGCCTGCTCCAGAGTCTGACGAGCAAAGGCGGCGTGCATGCGTGGAATTGGCGACAGGTGGTGCTCAGCGCCTTTGTCACGATTTGGGCCACGAGGCTGGGAAGTTTCTTATTCTCGCGTATCACGTCGGAAGATGGAAAGGATAGTCGATTCGACGATATTCGCGGGAAACCTGCCACGTTTGGCGCCGCATTTTTCGCGCAGGCTGCGTGGGTGTCGATGTGCTTGATGCCCGTTTTGGCAATCAATAGCATTCCGGCCACGACGCTGGCGGCTCTGCCGTTTGTCACTGTCACCGATGTTCTGGGTGTGCTGCTTTATGTGGGAGGTATTGGATTTGAGGCTACGGCGGATCGGCAGAAGTCACAGTGGATGAAGGAGAAGAAAGAAAAGAAACATGAGGAAGACTTTTTGACGAGAGGGCTGTGGAGTAAGAGTAGACATCCAAATTACTTTGTAAGTACACCACGCAGTACGGCTTCTTAGGCCACTTTGCTGACACGAGAATCTTAAAGGGTGAGAGCACTCTCTGGACAGGTATTGCGACAGCCGCCGCAGGCGTCATGCTCAGCAAAGTTGGCCAAAATGGCATGGGCTTCAGCGGCAGTCCGGCGAGCCGAATTGGTGCTCTAGCCATGGCAGCCATCAGCCCTGCGTTTGTGACGTTTTTGCTCTTCAAGGTTAGTCAAGCGACAATTCCCTGACCCGATTGTTTTCTTTGCTGAAACTCTTCTACAGGTATCTGGAATCCCCATGTCCGAGAAGAAGTACGACAAGCGATACGGCGACAGGAAGGACTATCAAGAGTGGAAGAAGAACACGCCTGTTTTCTTTCCCAAGCTGTAGAGCAGCTCAACTTTTTTGAGGCTTGAGAACTTGAACATTCTCGCCGCACACTGCCTTTGCTACTACTTGCATCGAAGTCAGCGAATCCGCGAGATCAGAGTAAAACGCCGCTTACACTTCAAGATGGTGGTCGACAACAACTATTTGACCTCGACCTCTTCTCATATTACCGCCTTTCCAAAGTCCACATATCTCGCAGATCGAAAAGCAAAAGCATAATCTGTTCGACAACTAAGAAGAGGAAATGAGGATTCAATATACACCTCATGTATCCATCTAGTAGCGCCTTTGGAATTAGCCGGGCTTATAGATGAGATGAGATGAGTACAGTAAAGTCAAGAAAAATGTCTGTCTGTCTGTCTGCTCCTCTCCATAACAGCCAACTATATAGATACCTACCTAACTACATGTATCTATCCACCTCTTCTTGTCTTGTCTTGGCCGCACTTCTCGAAGAATGCTGCTACAACCCAAGCATGTTCATCAAATTTTGGGTAGGCAGGCAAGAAGAATCAAAGGAAAGAAATTTCAGGCGGGGGGTGAGAGTAATCCCACCCCTTCAGACATACCTACCCACAGCTACATACATTACCTACCTACATGTACCTCTCTACCTATTTATGATTGATCTAACGACTGCGCAAGGCACATGGCATAATACCTCCCCCTCAAAGCCTGCAACTCTTGATGAGTGCCCATTTCCACAATTCTCCCCTCGGCAATGACGAAAATCACATGCGCATGCCGAATCGTACTCAATCGATGGGCGACGGCAATCGTCGTGCGACTGGAAGCTGCCTCGTCCAAAGCTTTTTGCACAATTCTCTCGCTCTGCGTATCCAGAGCCGACGTCGCCTCGTCGAGTAAGAGCAATCGCGGTTTCCGAATCAGCGCTCGGGCTACGGCGATGCGTTGACGTTGGCCTCCGGAGAATTGGAGGCCTTTGGTTCCACAGGGCGTGTGGAGTCCTTCGGGCAAGGAGGAGACGAATTCTAGACCATTGGCTTGTCGGAGTGCTTCGTTGACTTCGTCGTCTTCGGGTTCGTAATCGAGCCCGAGAGAGATGTTCTCGCGTACTGAACCCTGGTAGAGAGGAGGCTCTTGTTGCACTAGGGACATGTACTTTCGATAGGCTTTGGGCGACATTTTGGAAATGTCGTCGCCGTTAAGCGTGATTCGTCCAGAGGTAGGGTCGTAGAAGCGTTCGAGTAAAGCAATGAGGGTGGATTTGCCGCAACCTGACGGTCCGACAAAGGCAACATATTGCCCGGGATGGATGGTCAAGCTGATTCCGCGAAGCACTTTGAAAGCATGGCGTTGAATGTAGTGGAAGTCTATGTTTTCCATTGCAATAGGTGCGTCGGTGTCTGGCGGCCCGTGGTTCTTGTTGTCGGATGTCTCACCAATCGAAGGCACGATCGTGCGAAGCCACAGGATGTAGTTTGCGGCGCCCTGTGCTTTCGTGATGGACGTGCTGTAGCCAAACACTTGAGCTGCTGCTTGACCCCCAAAGACGACTGCGATGAAGACGACGAAAAACTGCTCTGACGTGTACTCATAGCTGGCCACCAGGCGCGAACCATACCAGAATCCGAGGGCCAGGCTGAGAAACTCGAGAGACTGTGACAGGGCGTAAGGAATCATGTTGACGAGAAATCCTCTCGTGGCGCTCTTGATGATGGAGGCCATTGTGGTCTTGTACTCGTCCATGACAGCAGATTCCAGCGTCAAGGACGAGATTGTCCGGATCGAGGTAACTGCTTCGGTAGCCAAACCAGCACTATCAGCGAATCGCTCCTCCGCTTGAGCTTCGAGCTTCTGGTCCATTCGGATTCTCACCCATCCAGATCCGAGCAAAATAGGTAGCGCGCCAAACACAACCACGAGTCCCAACTTCCAGCCATATGCAATCGCGAGTATCGACGAAGCTGATACGTTGACAATCACAATGCACATCAGTGCGATATTCGCACTAATCATCTCCATCAAGGATGTCGGAACAGACGACAATTTACTCGTCAAACTCCCGCTAGAGTTCTCAGCCCGATCAAAGAAATCCTGGTCAAAATTGATCACATTGGCGAGCATTTCTCTTCGATAGCGATGTGTGACTTCCTGTCCAATGATGTTGCAAGCCCATCCGAGCATGAAAGAAGCCACCAGATTCGATAGAGCGAGGACTAAGAACATTAGCGAGAAAAGATTTGCTCGAGATTGGCCTTCATTCTCAGGGAGGGTGAAGACACTGATAAGCTTGGAGAAGAGAACGGCCTGAGCCGGGTAAAGCAGACCTCCAATGGTCGAGCCAAACAGAGAACATGCATACCACCAATAGAGTTTGGGGTTCTCAGTAAACATGACATATATGCATTTGACCAGGGAGTAGCCAACAGTTCCTGATGTGAGGGCTTTGAGCTCGGCTTCTGCGGTCATGGATGCTGCAGATATCTTAGTTCGCTGCAGGGACATTTGGCGTTCTGTATCTTTTTCATCGGCTTCATTGGTGTCCTCTGCATCGCCTTGACTGGCACCAAGGTCTTGAGCGCGGACCATGGCGGCATAGTGGCCATCGAGTTCGATGAGCTGCCTGTGGGTTCCTTGTTCGACGACCCGGCCATATTGCATCACGGCGATGTTGTCAGCGAGCTGGACTGTGGCGAGTTTGTGCGCGATAACGAGGGTTGTCTTGTTGGCAGAAACCTTGTGCAGCGCAGATTGCACGATGCGTTCTGCTGTTGGATCAAGTGCAGAAGTGGCCTCGTCAAGCAGTAAGATCTTCGGATCGGAGATAATACTGCGTGCGATGGCAACACGCTGCCTCTGCCCGCCACTCAGCATGGATGCTCTTTCTCCCACCTGAGTATCGTAACCCTCAGGGAGGCCCACAATGAAGTCGTGGGCATTGGCCTGTCTGCAAGCGTCCGCCACCAGCGCTCTCTTCTTCTCAATTGGCAAGTCAAGTTGCGCGCCGACGAGTCCCTTTGCGACATTTTCAAACAACGTCCCGCGGAACAGAACAGGTTCTTGCTGCACCAGGCGTATATTACTGCGTATCCACTTCGTGTTGTAAGTGGAGATGTCGGCACCATCGAGCAGAATTTGACCTCCTGTGCCTTCATACCACCTTTCCAAGAGTCCCACAAGCGTCGACTTTCCGCACCCTGATGGGCCAACGAGCGCCGTTGTCTTTCCAGCCGGTATGGACAAGTTCAGACCATGCAGGACTTGCGCGGTAGGTCGAGACGGGTATGTGAAGGTGAGATCTCTCACCTCAATTTCCCCAGCACAGATCTCCGGTTGCTTGCCATCGGTCGCCAACGGATCCAGCTTGGACTCCTGGTCGATAATCTCAAAGAGCTCACTTGCGGCACTCGCTGCATTTGTAATGGCCTGCTGCTGTGGAGTGATCATACTCAGAGACGTGGTTCCGATAGCAACTGAAAGTACGACCGTGAAGACTGTTCCCACGTTATCGATTTCGCCCGATCTGAACATCCGATATCCTTGCCAGAAGGCCAAGGCCGTGGCAGAGAAGATCAAACAGTGCTCCGTAGAGAACAAGATGCCGTAGACCAGGCTTTTGCGGTCACCAATCTTATGTGCTTTGGACAAATAGCCGTCGTACGTCTTCACAATCTTGTCCTGCGCTCCAAAGGCGTGTATCGTTCGAATCGAGGAGATGGCATCCTGAGCTAGCACAGCACCCTGAGAATAAATTTTGGTAATCCGCGCTTCTATTTTCGCGTCAACAGAGAGGCAGGCGGCAACGACGAGGATCAGAGCTGGTATGATACTCATACATATCAAAGCAAGTTTCCACTGGACTGCAAGAGCGATGATCCAGGAGGAGAAGAATAGGGACAAAGCTTGCACGATCGTGGCAAGTTTCTCTGCAATTCCCTGGTTGACCCTGTTGCCGTTTGTGGTGACTTGTGTGGCGGCTGAGCCGTTCCCTGCCTTGTCGAAGTGCCATATCTCGAGGCGCAAAGTTTTCTCGAGGAAGGCTGTGCGCAACGCTGTAGTGGTGCGAGTGCCCGCTACGCTGATCAAGACGTTGGCAGCATAACAGAGGACAAGACGGGCCACGAAGAGGTAGATGAACCAGAGAACGAAGTGGTCAACATGGTCGCGAAATTCTTGAGGAGTGCTGACTCCAGTAGTGAAGTTATTAAAGTCTGTAGTAAAGTGTCCGAAGAGCAGAGTCGTGAACGGCAGTGCTGCACCCGAGGCCACGGAGCAGAGGAGAGATATGATATAACAGGCGATGTCCTGGCTGTCGGCATAGGCGAAGATGCGCCAGTAGTCCTTGAGCGAGCCCGAGGACCCTTTCTCTTCGGACAGCCGGTCTCCTTCGGGACTGTCGTCTTCGCTGTCGACTTCGATGCCTTTCTCGGTCGACTGCAAGTGTGGCTTCAGTTGGATAGCGGCTTGGTCGGCAGGATGAAGTGGCGTGTTCGCAGTGGCAGCGATGATGGGGAGCGCCTTTTCATCGCCTTGGCGGTCTGCCATGCTGGGACGAGTGAGGCTGATGGAGGCAGCACGAAGCGCCAGTGTATATGCGCGTTACATAGTCTCCATTGAGTCGTCGTAAGGTATGCGCACACTTCGCGGGAGGGATGATTTCCTGATGAATTTTTCATGCTCATGGCCGCATGCTGACAGCTGGACGGCCAGGAGGTACTGTGAGCCCAGCCGGGTACAATGTCTTTGCACCTCGGCGTTGGACGCATGGGGACGATTCGTAGAAGGTCAGGTCTGTCTTATCATTTGCTGCAATCCTTGACTTTTCTAGGATACTCGGCATCTGGGATGGTGGATTATCCAAATTCAATGCGCGAAGACGCTGTAGACATTAAGGTGAGGTAGGGCTACATGTAGACATTAACCTGAGATAGGGCTTACGGTAGGCCCGGTAGTTGGAAGTCGTTCGAGTGAAATCTGCCGCGACTGGGGTTCGAACACTGGAAGTCTGTGGAAGATGCCACGGAGCGGGAGGGGACGGGACGTGGCGCAGCGGCCCTTCCTTGTTGTGTGTTCCTTGGCACTCGTGTGGCGCAAACTGCGGGCTCACTCTCACTCAGCCTCAATGAAGGGCCTGAGGCTCCAGTGCTCACTGCTGACTCAAACGAGCCAAAAAACATGTTTCCCATCTCTGGCTCTCGTGTCTCGCGTCTCCCGTCTCCACTCTCCCGCTCTAGGAGGGGAGGTAACCCCTCGAGGTACAAATCGATCGAGCACAGGAAGCTCGATCAACGCCCTCTCTCGCTTCTCTCCTCTCTTCCGAGTCTGCCGTCTCCGTCAAAAGCAGAATCATAACCATCGTGATAATGCGTGTGCTAGGAGGTAGGGTAGGTAGGGAGGATAATCACGCTCCCGTGTACCTCCCGTCGCTTTCATCTGTTCTCCAGACTCCCACTGCACCTCACACTCACCACCAACATCACCATCACCACCACCACTACCACCACCCACCATCATCAATCTCCTACACGCACCCATGAGCGACTGAGCCACCGACCAGCTGGCACCGTGGCGAAGCTCCCCTTGTTGCACACACCCAGCCACCCATGGCCTGTGGCTTGTTTACCCTACCACCTACAGGTACCTTGCCCAGGCTTGCCGCCGCGCTTTGACTAAGCTCCACCTCCGATCGCCGGTCCTCGCGCGCTGCCAGTCCTGTACCTTAGGCTGTAGCTGGGCCTTGCAAATGGCTAGGAGATTCTCGCTCAGGCCCTTACTGCGCAGGTTGTCTTCCAAACACTCTGCCACCGCCGAGTCCACCAGGAGCGACGGCAGCGATAACAGCACCGCCGCTACCTCTGCTTCACCCTCGCCCTCTCCCAAGCCGCAGACCCGCTCGGCACATCGCCGTCTCCGCAAATCATCTTCGCTTGCCAGGCTAAAGGACAAGTTCCGCGACGCGCCTACCACTGCTCCTCCTCCTCCTCCTCCTCCCCCTACTACTGCTCCTGTCGCTGCTGCTGCTGTCCCGCCCGCAGCTCCATCAAAGAAATCACGCGCAAACAGTGTGAGCGTGATCTTGGAAGATCGCGAAGCTGCCCCGTCGCGTTACTCATTGGCACGCGACGTCGGAAGTGAAGCAGTGGAAGACGAGGAAGTACTGCCCGTGAAGAGCTCGCACAGTGAAAGTTCGGACCACAGCTCCGGCACCTGGACTACTGCTGCTGCTGCTGCACAGCAACCGGCGACTCCATCATCGCAGCAACAGAAGCTGGATGTGGAAGACCTGCAAGCGAATCCGCAGCTGACGTTGGAGGAACCTACGCCAGAAGCACGCAGCAGCGGCCGCAACAGGCTGGACGAGTTAGAGTGAGTACATATGTCATTCACCACACTTTGAACGGCAACACGTGCCTCTGCGGCAAGCTTCGCCATGATCGTCGAAGCTTGCTTTGTATAGAGCTCATCCCATCGAACCCAATGACCTTGCAGTCGTTCTCGTAGCGAGCGCGCCAAACACACATCACTGACCATACTCGTCTCCCACAGCTTCGGCCTGCGTCCATCGTCTTCATCGTCCGGCTACCTACATCGCCATCCCAGCCCCAGCCTTCGACTGAGCGATTCGCAGCCGACAACTACGAGGACATCCGTCAGCGATCTACCTCAGCAGAGCCTTGCTAGCAGCACCAATGCGAGCATCGTGAATCACCTCGTCGACGCCCTTCACCACCCCCAGCACCAACGTCCTACCTCTAGCGCCTCGCAGGGCCTTCCTAGCGGTCTGCCCGCCGCCACTTTGCCCAAGTATCTGACGAGCAGTAGTGTTCCGGATATGGCGACAATGTTGCATCGCAAGATTTGGGTGAAGAGGCCCAATGCATCCGCGACGCTGGTCCAGATTCGTGAAGACGACCTGGTGGACGATGTTCGAGATATGATCTTGAGGAAATACGCCAATTCGTTGGGCAAGACGTTTGATGCTCCTGACCTGACATTAACCATCTTTACCAGGTCGGACCAGCCGGGGCTGCGCACTGCACGCATCTTGCGGCCCGAAGAGGAGATGTGCAGGACCATCGACTCATACTATCCTAGTGGACAGACAGTATCGGAGGCATTGGTAATAGACCTGCCACAGCAGCGAACACCGCGGCCGTCGCCCCGACCAATATATCACAGTCATCACAGCTGTCAGGCCATGGACGAATACCAGCCCCCTGAGAACGGCACGGACTATTTTCCACCCATGCCTGTCACCATCCAGCCTGCGCTTCCTGCGCATGTCGCCCGCGAGCATCATGCTGCCCTGACCAGCGATCAGCCAAGGTCGATATCGGTGCTAAGTACGGGCCAGATACCTCCATTGCCCTCTCCAGGCGTTGCTGGCCGACGGCACAGATTGGATCGAGAACATCGACCTAGAATAGGGCGGCAGCACACCTCATCACCAACCATCATATCACATGGATCTCATGCTATGCAACCAAATGCGGTCGTATCCGCAATTCCTCCCACTCATCTTTCCCGCTCGACTAGGCCTCGAGTGGACTCATCAGCCTCCGAAGTCCCCTATCGCCACGACGCGCCTCCTCCGCCGTCTCTACCGACGCCTCCAGCTGCCGAAGCGCCGCCTGTGAACAAACCCGGCTCGGGACCTCCGACGCCGAATACCTTGATATCTAATGGTGGACGCACCTCTCGACCTCGCAAAACGCGCAAGCCGACCCCGGGGAAGCCATCCAAAGGACGATCACCACCTGTCGATACATACAATCCGAATCGCAGCTTAACTGGCCTGTCTAGCGTACTGGATAGCTCAGTGCCGCCTATCAACGTACTAATCGTGGAAGACAACATCATCAACATGCGAATTCTGGAAGGGTTGATGAAACGTCTCAATGTTCGATGGCAAACTGCGATGAATGGACAAATCGCAGTCGACAAATGGAGGACCGGTGGATATCACTTGGTGCTGATGGATATTCAAATGCCCATCATGAATGGACTGCAAGCGACCAAGGAGATCAGGAGACTAGAAAGAGTAAATGGAATTGGTGTGTTCAGTGCAACGCCTGGGCCGGAAACGGAGAATGGACCTAGTGCGGGCGAGAACGGCAAAGGAGAGAAGGTTCACAATGCGGCTGACGATAAGCTGGACAAGTCAACAGGCGTGTTCAAATCACCCATCATCATTGTGGCCCTGACGGCCTCCTCGCTGCAATCAGATCGGCACGAAGCATTGGCCGCTGGTTGTAACGACTTCCTCACAAAGCCCGTCAATTTCGTCTGGCTGGAACGCAAAGTCAAGGAGTGGGGTTGCATGCAAGCTCTGATTGACTACGATGGATGGCGGCAGTGGAAAGACTTTGCTGAAAAGGAGAATGCTGGTAAATCGGAAGAAGAAAAGCAAAAGGATCGCGAACAGGAAGAAAAACAGAAGAAGAAGATGGAGAAACTGGCACTTTTGCAGGAAAAGCAGCGCAAGACAGCCGAAGCCCAAGCCAAAGAGAAGGAAAAAGAAAGGAAGAAACAGGAAAGCACGGAACAAGAGCCTCCGGACGTGAATGGCACTGCTGCGTGACTTGATTGATTGATTGATTGAGATGAGGGTTGATCCCGTGATGACGTGGATGTCTTGGAAGTGGTATTCTTTCGTCGTATACATTGCGCACATATCAGCGAGGGCGTTTGTGGGCACGGGTTTGGGGTCTTGAACATCGTCCTGGAAGGTCTGGGACTGATTGTTCCTATTGAGAGAGTGCTGTGTGTGTGTTGTAGCGAATACCCATTCTTGCATGACCAGAGCTAGCTAGACACGTGCAGGCATCTGACACTTGCTAGCCTGTTTTAATGAAAGATTACCTATGGCTGGCAATTTCTGTCGGAGTCCCATTCACTTGCTTTTCTCCATCCGCGACGATCCAACTCTTGCGACATCTACTTTGCCTTGTGTTTGTTGCATATTCCAAATGCAAGCAGTAGAGTCTGCCCGTATCGGGTCTGTTGGCAGTCAGACGTGGGATATACTCACTGCTCATGCTGCGATGCCAGCTTTCCATGTTGGGGTTATCATGTACTTGGCAGGTGAAGTCTGCTCGGAGCAACATAGACAAAAAGAAATGTATCGCTACCTACATACCTACCTAATAGAGAGGCCAGCAGCACATTCAGGAGCAGCAATGCTTTCTCTGGCAATATCCATCCGTTTTCCAATCCCTCTCTCGCAATCCCCATCTACCTTATCGATCAGCAAATGGAAGCCGTTCTCTCGCACTCACTCACTCACTCACTCACTCACTCACTCACTCACTCACTCACTCACTCACGCCTTCCCCGCCATCTTATAAATCGCCCTCTCCGCCACCGCGGACATCTCCTTACACCCTTTATCCCCAGGCGGCAACACCTGCGTGCCAAAGCAATACGCCACATCACTTTCCCGATCCACTATCCAAAACGGATTGAACAGTCCTCCCCAAGACAAGGTACCCTTTTTTCTCCGACCGACATCATCTTCCAAAAATACTATCCCTCCTAATGCATAACTGGTCGGGATGTCGGGGTTCCAATCTCCTGGAATTGTGGTATGCCATGTTTGAATGAATTCGTTCAATGCCTTCTGGGACTCTGCGCCGAGTTGGGGTGTGAATAATGCTTCGACGCTTGTTGGAAGGAGGAGTTTCCCATCGTTTGCGAGAAGAGATTGTAAGACGAGAATATAATCTGCCAAATTCGCGTACATGCCATGTCCGCCAAAACATTCAGTGGAATGGGTATTAATTGTTTCGCCCTGGTAAGGGATCAAAGTTCTATCTTTCCTTCTCACACACAATTGCGGAGTTGCGACATTTTTCTTTTCCGCCGATGGCCAGAATGTGATTTCTGTGATCCCGAGTGGCTGCCAGAGATGTTTTTGCTCGAATTCTTCCAAGGTCAAGCCCGTCACGCGCTGAATGAGTAAACCTGTCCAGTCCAATCCGGGAGAATAGGCCCAACTTGTTCCCGGTTCAAATGCCAAGGGTGTATCATAGCGTTCTGCAATGGTGGCTTGCATCGCAGATGTCGGCGCGGGTTGGCCCATTACAGCGGCATACTTGATAATATCGGGATGGAAACCATACGTGTGACCTGACGAATGCGCGAGGAGATGTGTGAGTGTGATGGGATGTTGGCGAGGTTTCAAAATCGGAGCATTGGTGGCTTCGTCGAAGCCGTGCAGGACTTGCTTGGAAGCTAATTCGGGCAAATGCAGGCAGATGTCTTCTTCGAGCGTGAGAAAGCCGAGTTCGACGGCTTTGAGGGCGGCGATGGCGGTGAGGAGCTTGGAGGCGGATGCGAGCATGAAAAGGGCGTTGGGCTGGATGGGCGAGGAGTCTTCTTGCTTGCTGCCGTAGTGGTGGAAGCCGGTGGCGTGGTGGTAGGTGAATGTGCCTGTTTTTTTTTTTGAAGGATTGGTTTTTTGTTAGAGTGGGAGTCAACAAACTCGCGAATATCTGATGGACATCGCCATGAAAGTTGCTACTTGCCATCTTTGTTGGTCGCGTATACCACAGCATGCGGTATTTTTGCGTCTTGGACGCCTTGAGCGAGCGCTTGTTCCAGCTCTGTAGCCATGTTGGAAGGCTGTATAAGGTTAGTAAGCAGGGTCCGTCTGTCTCTCTCCAGTCTCTCTCTGTCTTTCTTCCTCTCTTCCTCTTTACAGAAACTCAGGGACCACCACACCAGATGCCTTGCTCTGGCCAAAAGGAGACAGGCAACACTTACACCTCTCATATGTCCTTCCAATGCCTGTAAGCGCTGGTGGGGAGCCATCACTTCTCACCAGACCCCACAGCCCCACAAGCGATCGATCGTCGTGATATCTGCCTTAGTTGAGTAATCGAATGCGGAATTGGCAAGTGAATGAATATGGGAAGACGACTTTATCCGCTCAAGTCAATGAAAGGTGATACGCTTCCCGAGAAGATGTCGAGTTGGCATATGCCTGAGAAGTACAAGAGGTGCCTAAGGTAAGGTAGCTAGTACAGTACAAGTTGGATCCATGAAGCCGAGCTAGACTAGGTAGACCAGCACGGATCAAGGATGCCTCGGCTTCTCCACTCAGGTAGAGCGATGGATATAGCTGTCACAATTAACTCCTTCGATACTGTTTGAAGTATATCTATCTCCTTGCGTTCCATACGGCATAGTCTATAGCACATCAGTTCGTCGCTCGATTAATTGGTTCGACTGCTCTGTTCTTGCTACAGAAGAAACGACAGACTTACTGCTCCATATCAATACCAAATCCCGAAATCCTCGTTGCTACCAAATACACTGGCCGTAGCCTGTTTTCGCCACCCCGCAATTCCGTGAGACAAGAACTGCGAGCTAACATATCTCGAAAGGTATTACGGGATAGGCAGACGGGTGCTGGAAGGGGAAGGAGATTACAAACCACCCTACGACCGGCAGAGCAGATAAAAGGAAGCTCACCATGAGCTGAGTAGGGAACATTATGATAGTTCTACTGATTGACTCTCTTGGTCGTACAACGGAGGACTCAGCTTGTCCCGTTGCCCTCTTCCTTCCATACGAATATTAGTACTGGGACGAATATCAGTCATTCATGTATCCTCAGCGGCGCGGCTGCCGAGCGGCCCACGAGAAGTACTAGTGGGCTGCCGTTGCATGGGCGTTCTTGACCAAAAGAGGTATCCCTTCCTTGGTGCCCAGTGTTGTTCATTGGGCTCATAGGGCTGGCTGGGGTCTTATACGTCCGCGCACGCCATACGCTAGTCTGGGCCGACCTCATTTGGCCTATTTAGACTTGCCGTACGGGATCCTAGTGAGACACAATGGACGTAGGCTGACTCTCTGGCTGAGGAGCAGTGGCAGTGTCGAGCGCATCAATGGAGCTTTACCTGAGCTCCAATTCCATGCGAGAAAATTCGTTATCGTTATCTCCGTACAGGAATGTAGGCGCTGCTTCCTTCTGACACCCATCATATCGCTGTGCCTCTCTCAAAACTTTCCCGGATATCGGCCGTGTATTTGTTGTAGAATCTCGCGAGCTTCATGTTGAACTGCTTGTTCTTCTCATTGATGAAGGTGATGTCTTGACCGTCCTCGTCAGGACGTCCACGATCCCTGCGCTTCTTCTGTCGTACTTCCTCGGCCTTCTTGATGTCCGTGACCAGCCGATCGACAGCCTCTTTTGAAGGCTTTCCTGCGGTGAATGCGGCGCTGTCGTTTGTGGAATAAAAGGTGCCGTCCTTGTCGACTGCGATGAGCTCGCCATCTTGTGTCTCCACAAGCTCCAGACCACCACTCGCAACAGCTCTGTTGATGGCATCCCGCTTGTTCTGTTCATACGAGGCCAGACGTTCGTCGAAGCCGGCTTTGGCCATTTGACCCAACTGTCTCTCATACACCTTTCCAGCTTCTTTGTTATAGTCGGCGAACTGATTCTCATCTCGCTTCCGCGCCTTTTCAGCTAAGCGCTCGTCCCATCGTTCCGACTCCTCGATGGTCCAGTCCCAGGCCCGTTTGCGCTCAAAGTCCTGACCACCTTCCTCGATCTCAGATTTGAGTAGTTTGTGCTGTGCAATATCCTTTCTGCGATTGAGAGAGGTGAGCTGCGAGGGGTCAACGGCTGCGCGCTGCATCTCGTGCTTGGTATCCTGTAAGTTCGACTTGCGACTGGCCGCATTCCTGGCGCGCAAAGCTGCGAAACGCGCTGCTCTCTCATCTGCCGCAGATGTGGCGGTAGGCTCTTTCGCATTGACGGAAGAGGAAGATTCTGCCTCTACTTCTGCCTCCGCTTCTGCCTCTTCCTCCGCTTCTGCCTCTGCCTCCGCTTCTGCCTCTGCTTCTACTTCGGTTTCTGCGAATCGACGCTTGGACGACTCCGCAGCAGTCTCCTCAAGCCCAGGTGAGCCTTTCCGTTTCCGCGTGACTGGCATTTTCGGCGGCCGGAGGTATGTAGTGTTGAAGTGGATGTTGTTGTTCGGTGGCAGGAAAGAAGTTGTTCGAAGTGTGCTGGGGGATGCGCAAGGTACCGTCATCTCCAGGTCTTGGCAGAAATTCGGAGGTGTATCTTCGAGCCGCCGACAACTAGAACCTCTCGTCTACATGTGAAGCAGGTAGACATAACAGCAAATGCGAATGCAATGGCGCCCGACAGAGGCCGCCGCCGCCATATGAGCTGTTGCAACCAATGCTCTTGGGCTGCTTCTGCTTCTTCTGACACGGAAGAAGGGCAATGGGTACGCGCATCGACCTCTGGCTGAGAAGACCTGGATCGTCCACTCTCGCATTCCTCCGCAGCCAACTCGACGCTCGAGCTACTGCCACTACACTCCTCCCCTCCCCTCAACATGCTGTTTTTCGGTCGAGTACCAGTCGTGGGGACCATATTAGCGGAGCGGGAGACGATGATGATCATGGACCATGGAAGCGGAGATATTACAGAAGCGAGCAGTCTGAGCAGGATCCTGAACTTGCAAAGCAGAAGCGGGCAGCAGCCATGGAAGCTGTTCTGCGGACAACACTCGGTCCTGATGGGATCTCTGTGACTTCCGGTACACGACCCGACTTCAAGAGCCTGCGTCAAGACTCGGACTTCTCGTCGAGTACGAGCGACCTTGTCAAGCGTATGGTGGATTCAACAATGCACGGGACCGACTTGAAGCTGTGGACCGCATTGCTTCAGCATGTGAACCGAAGGGACGGCCTCCCGGGAGTCATCATGGTCTGGAAGGCCCTGAGACAGCATGCAATAGATTTGCCGACATTCGGCGAGGAGGCTGATATTTTATGGCCCACTTTCATCACTTCTGGCATTCGGAAGAGGAGGGTCCAATCCGGGCGCTCACGTGAGACTGAAGATAGTCTGTTTGTCGAAGTGCTGCAATATGCTGCTCGCCTGAATGACCGATCTGGAACTATCTATGCGAAGCTCTACTCGACCGCGATCGGCACGTGGCTGCACATCAATCCATTTCTGGCCCCAAAATGGCACCGATATCTTGCTGAGCACTTTGGGGATGATTGCATCGATCTGAAGGCCCTGGTAAATGACTGCACTACGCGTGCTGCTTTCAAGGCCTTCAAGACCATCTACCTCGAGTGTGGCAAGCACAATCTGTATGATTACTTCATCCCCGAGCTGTTGAGGCGTATTGGTGTTGAGGACACATTGAAGTGGCATCAACTCTTCATTAAGAACGGCGATGCGCCTCAGCCCGAGACCTTTGCCATGCCACTTGTGCAACAGCTCTTCGATCATGACAAAGACAGGTCTTTGCCTATGGTTCATCGTAAGCCGATCAATAGCGAAGACTTCGTAGTTCCCAAGGATGGGATATCCATTGACTTCCCTTCTCTAACCCGGGCGACCATGTCGGCCCTGGTGGGTGAAGTCCATGGCATCAAGCAGCGAGAAGTCAGCGACTCCTTTGCGGCAAAGCTGTTTGCCACAAGAGCTTTCCCACTCGATATGGTCGTCAGTGGCCTCGGCATACTAGGCATCGACAAGCTTGGACCTCTAGCTTTACGCGAGATGGCTCTTCGTGCGGGATCTGCTACTAATTTGACCACCCACTTGACTACCGTTCGACGACTTCAGATAGCCATCAGTAATTCCACGTACTGCCAGCTATTATTGAAACTCGCCATGGACGAAGCCCACGACTTGTATCATGTCTTGTTGAGGAGCGATCAACATCCTGATGCTTTCGAGGACATCAAAACACAAGAAAACCTCCTGGGATTCTTTCTCGAGCAGGGAGATCTCGGCAGCGCTCAGGTGACGCTGGCTGGACTTTCACTCAAGGGAGATCTGACTCAAGCCAAGGCCTGGAATCGAATTCTTCAACACTACATCAGCAAGGGTGAGTATCGCCTCGTCGCGCAGACAGTAGAGCAGATGCAGGGACTGGACATGGTGCTCACCGAGAGAACTTTGACATTCATGCATCGCCACTTGTTGCCAAAACGAAATCCTGGCAAGGCGCCACCTGACGCTATGCTGGAGGAGTACCTAGGCGTTCCTCCTTTACAGTTCACGACGAATATGTACACGTATACAGCAGAACGTGGTGTTCATGTCAGCCCGCGGCTCTGGATTGAGAACATGAAACGACTTGGCATGCTGCAGAAATGGGACGAACTAGAACGACTAGCACATTGGCTTGCCGTGTTCTACCAGGACTGGAAACGAGCTGTCTTTACAAATGAGCGTCGAGCGGGTCGCAAAGTGAGAGCAAACGTGACACTCAGAACGATATTCAGCCCCACTATGCGTGAAGCGCTGATCGTATGGGGCTTCAGATCCGCGGTTAACAGAAAACTGCTGTTTGAACGCGAGGCTACAAATGGGAGCGACTGCCAGCCGTGGGCACGTGGTCTTCTTCTCTTGAAGAGACTCAACAAGCATGGACTTCATCATTTCGGCCAGCAGACCACTCCAGAATTGGTCCGACGAGTGGTAAAATTACGCATGTGGATCTTGTTTGGACCTGGCTACTCCACGAAACGCATCAACCAAGAGGCGAAGAGGCACAACCGGCTCAGCCTGGCTCAATACATACAGCACGCCAATGCCCTGTGGGATGGACAGTTATTCGACTTCGATCCGAAATGGTACGAACCTCAGAACCATCCCATACTGCTTGTGGCACTGTTTGGTCCCCAAAGACGAGTGAGTCAGAAGAGAGGGGACAAGGCTGATGTTGTTGCGTATGCGAGAGCGATCGCAGGTCGAAGGCCCATGCCAGCTTCATTTGATCGAGTAGGATACCGGAGACGGCGGATATGGGAGATGAGTCCCTTTTGCATACCGGCATGAAGCAAGTCGCACGTGGGCGCAAACATGGCCTCGAAGTCGAAGAATGCTGCACGGCACAGATTGGTTCCACCCTAATGAGCACTCGCCTCCACAGCGTCGATGGCCCTCTGCTCATTCATCGAGTTCACGTCCTGCACCCAGTCATCCAAATACTCGGGAACCTGCCTGACCTTGTTCGAGTCTGCCGCAATCGGATCCCCCAGGACCGTATATGCCGGCACAACACCCGTCCAGGTATTATTGGAGACGTGGGGATTCTCCAGATCCGCTTTGTCGTCAGCAGGTCCTCCGGTCCTCGTTTTGGCAGACGCAGTCTCGATGCGAACCTTGAGCACACCAGTCGAAGTGATTTCCGCTTTGGTTGGTGGAGCACGACTATTCTCCCATCGGTCCGGAATGGAGTTATTCGTAATCAGTCGCAAAGCAAAGTGCACTTCTTCCGGGTCATTGACTATGCTCCCGCGTCCATAGACGATGGCAGAACGAAAGTTGCAACTGTTGTGGAAAGGGGCCAGGGCGAGAACATATCCGTCGAGCAAAGTTCCACATACACAAAGAGGAAGTTCTGATCCCTTGGTGAGGCGAAAAAGGCGGGCCACTGAGCTGCCGTGGAGGTAGAGGGAGGGTTCGGGGTCGGATGCGTAGGTGGCAACAGCGCCTAGCATGGGAAGGATTGTTGGGAATTGAGGTTGTCCCTCCTGCTGGTGCTGCTGCTGCGGAGGGGGAGGAGGAGTATTGAAAGAGACGTGGAGGATTGGAGTCTCATTCAAGATGGTGTGCACCAGGTTGTAGTCGTATTGAGCTACGAGACGATTCAATTAGCTTCCAATATCTTCATTTTTTGAAGAATGATGATGATCGTAGAAGACAAGTCAACGCACTTCGTTTTGGCAATCTCCCCGCTTTGCTACGTTCGTCTGGTATATATGAAGAAGAAGAAGAGGAAGCCATGTGGTGATTGTACCCGTTGAGGTAAGTACCTATGTATGACGGCTTTTTTCTCGTTTGTTACATGGCTTTTCTTTATATAAAGATTGCAAGAAATAACAATACGGCTGCAATGAGCTACATGTATTTTACCTTACCTTATCTTTACGCCCTATGTGTTGTACATGTAGCTGTAGGATTCACGATTATCCACTCTTTTTTCAGGTGGTGATTGATTGATTGATTGTTGGGACAAGTACATATGATTGAGGGGCTACATGAGCTGAGCTACATACCTCCTAGGAGCTACCTACATGTACTCACCCGGTCCACTGGGACGTCGGGTCCTGCGGATCGCTCGTTTGGATGTGCTGGTTCAACAGCCTTGATACTTGATATTAGATATTAAAGGGGACTGACATACCGTCTCAAGTGAAAAAGATGTTACAGTAATCCACAAGAAGCCGAGGCATACCTCCCAGTATCCCTGAGGTCTGAGGTGGCAAGCAAAGTTGAAAAGCCCTCAGTATCACAACCTGGTCAACGAGGGCAACAATCACATAATTCCACAAAAGGATGAGGTAAGCGTTGCGTTCGAGATCGCCAATGCGGGAAGTCGGATCTTCTCGGATCTCGGCAACATTAGTTCGATCTCGTCACACAGCCACAGGGCCAGTCGGTGAATGACCACTGTGTTCCAGCCTTTCCAGTCTTCCAGCCTTCCTCGAAAAGTAGGTAGAAAAGTACCAAGTCAAAAACAACAAACAACAACAACAACCAAAAAAACAAGAAATTCTTGGCTACAAAGTCGTTTACCGCTCCTTTTGGCTTCTTCCACCAGCAGAAGAGTCAATGCAATGTCAAAAACAAGGTTTGGGGCCATGACTGTCCATGAGAAAGTCTCCCGAGCGGTGGGAGAACAGGAGCAAGCCAAGCGCCGGAGAAGTCGGACACGAGGGCAAAGGGCGCAGGAGGCGTCGAGGCGACGACAGGCGGCGACAGGCAGACAGGGTTGATGACTTGCAGACGACAGCTCATCACGAGGGCAGAGAGACGAGCGAGACAAGACAGACAGGCCGAGAGATGTGATGTGATGACGGGAGGTAAAGGACGCGCCAGCAGAACTCTGCTTCATGTGGCCAGCCAGCCCGGCCACCCAGTGAACCGGCATAGCCTGACGACGGCGACAGCTCCTGTTCGGGCTGGTCTACCTAAAGTATACTTACGAGAGTTACACTCTACACGCACACACATCACCAGCTGATGACGATGTGACCGACCTGTCGAAACACAGGCATGGGAGACCCTGTATCACGAAAGACGACGATTCGCGACACCTCCCAGCCAGCAAAAAACGATGAATAAGTCAATGAGGTTTGCCACGTGCATGTGGTTCAGCGTCTAACCCGGTCAGCAACGGGAGGGTGGGCATAACCTGGTCAGACTTTTGCGAAAGGGAACAAGAAAGTTTAAACCCCCGACTGAGACAACACTAATTCAACCTCCAACGGTGGATGGGAGAGACGAGTAAAAAGTAGTGTAGGTAGGCAGGATACCAGTAAACTAGTGGTAATAGTAGAAGTAGAGAGAAAAGTGAAAATACAAAAATAAAACTTCCCGTCCCTCTTTATACAAGGCGCAAGACCTTCCTATTCGAGCGAGAGTCAATACTACCTGACCTACAGGTAGATCATACAGGCCCTTGCAATGCAATGCGATTCATTCACCTCTCTCTACCGACTGTTTTTTTTCCCCTTTCTGTTTCTTCATTACACAAAAAAGAAAAAGACAGCTGTCAGTCATAATCCGTAATGAGCACACGGCACGGCACATAGGTGCGGTTAGGTAGATACAATAGGTAGACACTAGCGTCTCTCACTAGCTACCTACCTTACTCATCACTACTTATTGTAGTATAGGCTACCTGTATCTAAGCTGATCCAACCCATACCCGAGATTGTAGTTTTTGACAGCGGCACGGAATGTCTAGACTCGAAAAAAAAACAGCTTTCAGCCAATATTACCTTTTTTTTTGGTACGCCGTCTACACAATGTGGCTGAGAGAAGCTACCGAAACTCTACTGAAAAATTGGCAAAAAGTGAGTGAAGATGGCGCAAAAGAATTTACCCAAAATAAGATTCCCTGATGAGTGATCATTCCTCTCCGACGCCCTCCTCATCATCGCCGAACCGGTTACTCCCCCAACCAAGGACGGGGGAAAGCCACAACACACCAGTTGCCGACTTGGCGACCAACTGTTAAAAGCAAAAAATGAATTGTCAAAACTGTAAAAACTGTAACTGTAACTGTAACATACGAGGGAACGAAGAGGAGGAGGGGGAACGAGAGCAAAAAAAAGAGGGTACGGCCCGTATTATCACAGTTTCACATTTTAATACCCAAATTCACAAATTCACATACATTCAAAACAGTTTGAGACAATCTCGCACATGGTCTTTCCTTTCCCTTTTTTTTCTTCTCGTTCTTTTCATTCCATTCATTCATTCTGTTTTTTGTACTTTTTTCTTGGTTCTAGTAACTTGAAACTGGGAATGAAGTGGAGAGGAGGGAATGGAACCTACGGATCTCTCGGTCTAGGCTATAGCCTAGCCTAGCCTAGCCTAGTCTAGCCTGGCCTCTGCTCCTCTCCTCTCCTGTCCTCTCCTCTCGTGTACTGTATTTGATTTTTCCTGCCCACATACCTCTTAATTAATACCCTTACCTACATGTACTCTACTGTATCAACAAGCCCCCTTGCTCATATGTGAGGTCTGTGGGGGAGAGGGGAAGAGAGTGAGGTGTACTGAACTTTCCATCAGCCACAAGAGAAAAGAAAAAAAGACTAAACTACCCGGGGTTTCCTTTGTTTGTTTGTTTGTTTGTCGTCCTTGCGGTGTGGCTGTGTGATAGAGAGAGAGAGAGCTTGGCGTGGCTTCTGATCGGGGCGAAAACGAAGCAAGGTGCAACGCCACCATGTGAGTGGCGGGAATCTTGCCTCCCCCCCACAAGGGTGGCTTGCGCTGCTGCGCAGATGATGATGGTGATGATTAATCAAGACGTTGCAGAGTGAGACTTGCGCACTGATATCACACAGGCCGTGCATGTCTGAATCTGAAATGGATGGTCGTGAACGGGTTTTTCTTGCTGCTTTTCTCTTGTCATTGAGATGGCTGGTGTGATACCCTATCATGAGATCCCCTTGCATATGCTTCATCTAGCCTTAATCAATCAAGATGTGACGGCTCATCGTTTGTCTCCTGTGATTTCCCTTTTTCCTTGGTCCTGTGTCATTCATCTGTTCTCTGCTGTGCTGCTCTCAATACCTCTGTGTGTATGTGGGTGTGTGTGTGTGTGTCATTTCATTACGCCGTTCCTCATGAATCAATATGTCCCTGATTCTTTCCCATCCCTTCATGTTGTAGTACCCCATTTAATGAAACATTCGAAGCTTTCGGAAACTGGTAAAAATATATTCTGTTCACATGTCGCTGTCGCGACCTCCGCCGCGACTCTTTTCGCGTTTGTCACGCAACTCGGGACATCTTCGACGGTGGTTGATGAACCAGTTGCTCACTTGAGTCATACTGATGCCCGTTGCCTGTAGAGGAATGGTATAAGCACATGTATATTGTAGACAGAGGTCGAGTGCACGGTTCTGCGTCGTACTTACATTGGAAAAGACTGCCTTTTGCTCTTCGCTGGGGTAAGGGTTCGCGATGTTCTGCTTCACCGTCAGCGCGCGCTCTCGCTTGCTCCTCACCATCGTGCAAGTTTTGCCATACCTGATCGAACCATGTCTTCATAATCTCTGTCGATTGTTTCGGAAGGTTACTTCTCTTGCGTGCCTTTCCATGTTGATACTCGTAGTGGCTAGGCATGAAGTACGCAGGAACGTTGCTCTGATATGGCTGTGCGGGAAAGCCAGGCTGACAATCCTGGTGCTCTTCTGGACGTCCATATCTGATCGGATCTCTCGGATCGCTGTAGCCGTCTCGCATCGCATAGCCTCCTGCCGAGTATGGACTGGGTCGAGGCTGTTCTCGGTCGAAGGACGACGGGGGCGGATACATGGCGTACGTGCTCACGGACGATCTGCGGGAGCTGGGTCGGTCGCCAGACTGTCCAAAGCTGTCTCGCATTTGTCTCGCAAACGGATCCGGTGCAGTGCCAGTGAAGGGATTCCGTCGTGGGAAAGATGGCTCGACGGGCGGTTGATCTGCATTTTGATACTGACCAGGTGCGTTTTCATGGGTACGAGCGCCACCAGATCGGGCAGAAGCGTCCTGCGAGCTCCAGGGTGGGCTGCCTACTGATTGTGCGTGTGTTCGGCGCACATGAGTGCTGTTCATCGGCGGAAACTGCACGCTCGAGCGCATGGAAGAGGCAGACGTGGTCGGCTCGAGTGTAGTCGATGGTGCGAAACGTGGTCCGTTGGCTGCGACGCCCGAGTACAGCGGTTCCATACGCTGCTTCTTGTTTGGATAGAGTGACGGCGGTTTGTACGTCGACGTGATATATGAGGGTTCACGAGGGGCGAGTTGACCTGGACTCCCACCGGGACTAGGTGTTCTAGGGGGACTGGAAATGCTGTTTCCGAGTACCTGTCTTAATGTCAGCACAAGGTCTCAAGCCATACACTTGGGAGTACACGAACGGTCTTCAACGGAGGTAGTGATGGCTTCTGTCCTTCGCCATTGAGATACGGCGGAGAGTGTGGTATCACAGTATTCCGACTGTCCCGTCGATAGTGAGTAGGTCCATTAGGGATGCCCAACGACCTCTCTCCAGAACTCGGCCGCAAGAAGAAGGGGCCATTGTCGTACGGACCGACCAAGGTCTCTCGGCTGCTCCGCGAGACATCTGGAGTTGGCAGGCGTGGAGAACGAGGCTTTTGATCTCTGTAATGGTAGTGCCGTTGGTATGGTGTCCCATCGTTCAACGTGAGGCTCTCCATTGTGTGAGAGAGACGGCCTGCCGTTGGGGGGGACGGTAGACTTGGAGATGCTGACGGGAGGACGTGAAGGGCTGACAGAGTCCTCAGGGAAGGTGTCGAAGTCGAGTTGATGGACGGTGTGAAGACAACAATCGCCAACGTGACATGCAATTGTATCGACAAATCGGTGGCCAAGAATGAAAGAAGCGCTATACGGGAGCTTTTGAACAGCACAGCAGACCGCTAAGATCAGACAAGGTCGTTTGAGTTAGCCTGGAGTAGTAGTGGCCAGCCTTAAGGTTGCTGCGATCGTTCTCCGGCAAGCGCTTTCACCCACTCTTATTATTAATGAGCAGGAGAACTCTCTCGACACGGCGGTTGAGTGGTCAGGGCCAGGGCCAGGGTCAGGGTCAGTTTTGATGAATGATCCTCGTGCGGGACTCGACACACTCACACACACACCACACCTACACACACGCACGCACACACAGACACGCACCGGGACAGGGTCTCCGGCCTCAAGGCTGCTCAAGGCTACTCAAGGCCTGTTGAAGGTAGACCAAGACCCAGCAATGTAATGGCGTCGGACGTGCATCGAGTTGCTGCGGGTGGATGGATCCTGCAAGTGGTCGGGTCGGGATGGCGCTGGCTGGCGCTGGCGCTGGCGGACGCTCGTCGTAGCACTCCTGCGGCGACGAAACATTGCGCAAATCATCATGCTGCAGGCAAGGGTGTGCGTACAGTGCTGTACCGGATGCTCTAGCGCACCCTTTGGCACCCTTGTTCGATGCCGGACACGACCCAGCTCCCAGGAGTCCCAGCTCCAACTCGACGGCCCGCATCGCGCTTGTACCATCCCATGTGCATGCAGCGGCTGAGGTGGGCGTCATACACTGCTTCCTTGCCTGAATCAGACAAGTGCCCTTTTTGACACACGCTCGGGCTGCTGGTATCGTGGGCACTGGGCAACGGAGCCGCTGTGCTGGCTACGTCTAACGGCCAAGTCGGGGTATTGCAGAAGCACAGGGCAGCATAGCATAGCATAGCATTGCATCGCATGGCGCAATTCTAGCTGAGAGCATCCCTTGATCCAGCACCAGTGTGCTGGCCACCTCAGGCTACGGCCGAGCGCAAGAATGTGACAGTCGTGAGTGTCGGTGTGTGCGTACTGGCCACTCCGTTCATCAGTTCGCATCCATGATCCGCCCACGACACCCACCCACTTTCTCGCCCGATATCCCAGGCCAGCTCGTCGCCGCCGGATCTCTGAGCCTAACCTTAAACCTCTGACAGCGACGGAGTCTTTCCTCCAGCTAGTGCTGCTGATCGCCCCTCGCCGCGACACCCGACCGAAGTCGCATTTCTCTCATCCTCCCGCCGTACTATCTTGGGCCCTGTCAATTGACTCGGCCTGTCACACGTAGGAGGTAGGGACACTGTGGATCTCATGAAAGCCGGTGGGCAATGAGTTGATGTTTAGACTGCGACTCCGACTGCGACTGCTTCTCTGCCTCTGCCTCTGGCCTTGCTGCTACCACCACTACCGCTAGCGACCCGCCAAATTCCAGCGCCGACATGATTCGACGGCACGAGTCGCGCGCGCTCCAGCTCAGAGGTCTGATAAAACAGTGGCACACGCGTCGCGTTGTTGACGATCAACCTTGTCTAGTCTAGCTGTGCGTAATTAATCGAGATAGCTTGCCATCAGACGCAAGGCGATGCAGATTGACGACCCGTGAGGTGTGAAGAGCGCCCCACAATGGGTCCGACCGCCGATGGCCGACCGATGGTACTGTAGAATGGGCGAGCCCACAACAAGTCCACGAACTGGAGCTAAACGAAACAGAACAAGACGGGACTCTGTAATGTCCCCGCGCTAGCAGTCCACGGCAACGAGCATTATCCACAGACTACACCACCACCAGCACTGCTGAAGCATGTCGAGCAGGAGAATCGTCTGTGGGGTGTGGACATGGTCGCCTGAACCACAGCCACAGCCACAGATGGCGGTGACATGCTCGCTCGGAACGCTGGTGGCAGTTTGACATGTTGCAGGGTACTGGCGTAACAATGCAGACGGCTGTGCTAGATATATATCTCTCTCCATCATCCATGGATGCGTGGGTCGGCGGTGCGTGCGTGTGCGGTGTTCTCGATGGCCGCCCTTGCCGCTGGTGCTGTCTGCTCGGCCTCCCCGCCGTCACACAGTGGCTACCTGTATGTACCTCTGGAGGGAGGCCTCTTTTTGCGTTTCCCCCCGCCCAGCGGTCGGCCATCGAGTCTGACCGCTCATTGTTATTGTGTAGGCTGGCTGGAAGACGGATGCTGTTGACAGGCCACCACACGCGTGCGGCGTGTGCCTGACAGGTCGGCAGTGGCAGAGGAGCAGGTGTATGGAGGCGCTCGGTGACTGGTGTGACTGGCCGGGTGTGTAATAACACGGTGCAGATTGGGACGGCGGCATGGCGATCTCAGAGGCGCATTTGCGCTGTGCGACCACGGCCTATCGTGAGAGTGTGAGACTGATGAGTGAGTAGTGGTGCCTGTTCCCAGGGTGCGCAGCAGGGATGGCAGATGTCGCACTCCCATCTCCACGGACCATCCTCTCCCCTCTCATGCACTTCAGTGCTCGCGGCTAGAATGCTGCATCGAGCCTTATCACGATCAGAGTCATGGCTGCTTGCACGCACGCAGGCACGCACGCACTCACGCACGCGCGCTCAATCGCTCGCTTCTCCTTCGTCGTCGTCGCCATCTCACCTCCTGCGGGACCTGCTCCACCGTCTCCCTGCGGCGGGTTGTCGAGGAGAACGTGGCAGGCCATCACACTTGTCATGCGTGTGAAGAGCGACTTTCTGTCTGTCGCTTGTTGTTGGTACACATCATGGCCGGTCACGAGAGAATCGAGATGCTGGACACAAGGTCTTCTATCGTGAACGAGCACTTGGGTCCATTCCGCTGCGCGCTCCTTTCCACCAACAAGATGTCGACCGAGCATCTGCGATACCTATGTTTTGGTGTGCATAGAGGACCTTGGAACTCCAGAGCACTGGGTACGAGAATACTACGGCTCAACTACATGTATGTTGTGTGCCAATGTGGCTGAAAAGCGCACTTCTGCTTTGCTGCCTGACAATCTATCGATGCTGCCCATATATTGCACGTCATGTACGATGCAATACAGCTCTGCTGCTGCAACCAGCTTTTGCTGCGACTTCCCGGGCTGGGGCAGCAGCAGCAGCAGCAGCAGAGAAAGGACGGCCGGGGGAGACGCAACGCATGTCGCGACAAAGTGCCCGATTGTGCGTTTTCTCCTTTCGCGCAAGACCGGCGCTGGGGCACGAAAACAGCGTTAATATATACTCCACTTGGCGCCATGCAATGCAACTGCAACCACGATGCACGTACGGTTCGCGACACATGGGTTCTGCCATCTTGGTTCGGATGGGGTTGATCTTGTGACAACCTGGAAGAGAGGGATAGCCCAAGGACCAGGAAACAACATTCTTTCTCTACCCGACTGGTTCGCAGCAATGCAGCATTCCCACCATCGCGGCACTGGATGCTCGTACGTACCAGGTTCCTTGTGAGACAACAGCGACACCACACCACCTCCCTTCCAGCATTTGTCCCACGTCACGCCTTGTCATTGAGGGAGCGCAAGCAAGCAAGGCGCAACCTTGGGAGAATGAGGGATCCAATGAGCCATCGCCGGCACGTCGTCCTCATATCATCCGCAGATGTCTATATGAGAGAAGTTGCTCGAGTGACAGGTGCTACCGGACCCTGGAGCCTTACTCTGGACTTCATAGGACACCCAAGGAACGACGAGCCGCGTTGGACTCCAACCTTTGTGCAATCTCGTGTGATACTTCCAACACAATGGCCTGCACCTGAAGTATTCGGGCTCGTGTCGTGTGCAACAATGTGTACGCTCGACTGCTAATGCCATATGGCGGTCTGTTACAGCGCCAAGCACAAGCTCTCACATGCCATGCGATTCTTCGCACGTGCTCACAGCACTCTGGATTCATCATTTATCCACTCGACCGCTTTTCCGAACCTCAATCACAAGTCGTACCACTCATCAAAACGTTACATGAGACGAATCACTGTCTCACAACAAAGCGAATCCAAGCAGGGCCAAACTGAGGCCCAAGTACACTGTCGATATGCTCGGCCTTGCCATCACTCCCTCCGAAGTCTCACTCAATCTCGTCGTCGGTACAGTCGCTCGGCCGGTGGCTGTAATCCCATTGAGAGAATCTGCCACCTCGATCGCTGGGCCAACGTTGAAAAAGTCCACCATGAGAAAGGTGGGTGCTTTACCATATAGAGCAGTGCAACCTGCTGCTGCAGAGCCAAGTGTGCCGACACCGTTTGACGGAGAGTTTGTGACCGGTGAGTAAGTCTCGTTTGGCGATTGGATCCCTAGATAATGTCAGTACGTAGTCAGGATGCAAGACGCGGAGCAGAAGTCTTCGTCACTCAGCCATACCGAAAAGCTGGTTCTCGTATAAGAAGTGGTTTACGAGGCCCATGTATCCCTGGGATATCGCTGTCGCAGTCTGATTGGCCAGGTGTGTCGGGCGATTGACCTCGCATGAAAAGTCCGTTGGCGAAGAGTTGTCGTAGTCATTTTCGAAAATGTATGTGAACTCGTTCATCAGGTAAGCCGCATTGGTATTGTCGTCCAGAGTGGCTACAAAGTTCATCGCTCGTGTGCCGGCGCTGATCAGGGTCTGCAGGGTGGGCCAGTCACTATTCGCAGATTCGTTTGTCGGACTATATGCATATGGTAGCATGCCAGAGGAGACATATGCTGCACTGATTTCGCCAGCAGTAGCTCCGGCGCCGTTCACGATCAAAATCGTCACCACATCGTTGGTGTTGGCGTCCATCCACGTCTTGATCTCTGCTAACCAGCTCTCCAAGGTTCCAGCATCGAGCAAGGCGCAGTCCGCGTGGCATACATGGAGGGCGCTTGATGTATCGTTGGGATGATGTATTTGCGCCGTCACCAGCCTGACACCAGCAGCCAATTGCGTCGTCGTGTTGTAGAATTGGTTGCCAGAAGTTGAGAAGCCTGTAGTGGCGTCGCGAAGAAAAGGACTGTTATGTGCGCCAAGGTATGTAACATTCGAGTAACTTCTATCGCAGAGGTCCGGACTGTTGTTGCAAGCTGTTTGTGCTAATACCATGCCCAGGGTCGCTGCAACGCAGAGCATGGGTTGGAGTGATTTGGAGAACATCATGGCACTCTGTTCCCGCCTTTCTTGGAGCGTTGTGCAATTATGAGCCCAAGACCCAGGTATCACTGGATTTTGATTCTTTTCTTGATGAACAAGTGACAATGGGACTAACCAGAAAGTTCCTTCTCACTGGGAAGAGAAGATATGAGAGACGAACCTACCTATACCTACCTTAACATTGAACCAACCTCAGCTTCTTGGCAGTGCAAAGATGAAGGAGCGTTCCTTTTGTGGACTCGTCAGCATCAGGTTCGCAGCAGGAACACCAAGCCACTAAGGATGCGGAACGCGCAAACAGCTGCGGCTGGCATATGGGCCGCCTGTGTCGAAGCCGTCCTATAGCTAGAGGGAGAACTGAAGATCTCGGTATTGCCAATGGTGGGGACGGGATAGGTAGGTCTTGGAGCGCATAGCGCAATCACCTCAGTGACGATGAGGTAGGAGGAATGTATGGTATGTGTATGGTATAGGTATGTGAAGTCAGGTACATAGGTGGAAGTGGCCTCTCCCGAGTCATTCACGGGCACTTCCGCAACCATTAGTAGGCCACGACAGGCCACGCACCCACAGCGTGGCTGTCGGCGTCGTGGCCGAGAGAAGATGACCACTGTGTAACTGTGGATGACGGCTGGCGCGTCTATCTTCGGGGACGGCATGGGCATGGGGCATTGGCATCAATCGAAAACACGCGGCTCCCGTCCGCCCCAAACTGCCCTTTTATTTGACACGACCTTATGCTCTACCTCCACTACCGCCGCATGGTGGTGGTGTTGGCGGCGTGTGTCGTGGACGGGACGAGCCTGAAACGGCAGCTGCAACCACTCGGTCTTTGGCCACCACCACCACCACCACTTCGACACTCAGATCTCACGTGCGAAGAACACGTAGAATATCGACACCAACAAAAGCAAACCAGCCCTATGGAGTATGGACTCAATTAGTCTCATGCCCCTGCCGACTTACCCGTCACCAACGACGCTGTCAAGCTGTCATTGGAGGAGTAGTGGCCACACATCACTGCCCATCCAGACATACAAGCAGAAGCCCCCTGGTCACGGCCAGCTGTACGCACTCCTCTGGACCTGTCAGTTGAATATGGGAAGGCTGGAAGGCTGGTCCCATTGGAGTGCTGGTCCATTGTCGAGCTTTTGCCACGCGGTTACGGCACGGGTGGCAGTCCAGTGACTTTGCATACGCGCTCTCGGCTCTCGTGAAGCTAAATATTTCTCGAACAGAGTCAGCTACATGCATACCACTACGGCATGATTGACGCGTGTCAAACCGGGAGGGCTGGCTTTGAGCAGTGCTCGTGATGGACGTCTCGGTTGTGAACATGCTGACCAGGATTCCTAGAATAATCAGTGTAAGCGAGCAGGTTTCGAAACACGTACATTCGTTCCCGAGCACCCAGCAGCCTTTGACAGGAGTCACAACTAGGTTATTTGCATTCTTGTTGTACAGTAGGAGGTAGCCTTCCTGAACTCAAGATGTTATACCAGCCGCGGTAATAATATAAGTCTGGATAGAGCTCCACGACCGTGACTGAAGCTGGCAATATCTCCGTACAGGGTCCTCCATATCAAACACCTCTCCACTGCTGTCTGCGGCTGGCCACTGCCCACGTCAACCTTCTCACCTCCTCTCAGCCTCGGGGCAAAAGCGAGAGTCTGTCTCCAAGATGATCCCTTGACCGCTTATACTACTGGCTATATATCCTTTGCTGGTCAGACCGCCTGTCCATCTTTCCATATGCATAGCGGAAACCGAACTTGGTCTATCGAAAACTTCATTCCTGGCGTTGAAGGCTTTTGTCACCACGACAAGCACTTTCACCCTGATCACTTGATGTGCGAGGGACAGCGGACGAGCTCACAAGAAACTATCGCAGCAATGAGCATTCTTAGGCCCTGTTTTCCGTTGCGCCCGGCTTCCGGAGGGGGATGACTCTGTGAGGATCGCAACGATTCGACTGCGCCACCGATCGGCATCTCCGACACTCAGATATGCGGCTGCTTGCTTGCTTTGCCTGCATCGATCAAGATCACATGCGTTGCGTTGTCAACAACAACAAGAACAACCTAATCTGGGGAAGTTGGGGTGGGGATGCGTGACCCCGTCACACTGGGGGCTCCGACGTGAGGGTGGAGTGCTTTGCTCCTTGAAGTAGCTGTAGCACCTGCATCCCATCACCAGCCACTTAAGCCGTGAGCCTTCCAGCTACAAGCTAGGAGGTAGCTGAAGTTGTCTTCAGTTTGGACATGATAGGGACGGTACAGCTTCGTACAGCCGCGCGCGCGGTACACTGATCTTTCTCCAGCCCGACTAGGAGGCAATACAGCCAGCATCTTGAGCAAAAGCTCGTTCCCATCTCGATCATCAACGCACAGAGCGTTGATTGCTCGCTCATGGTGTTGTCTCCGCTTCTGTCACGACCGCTGATCAGTTGGTACAGCCACCGAATATACAGTGCCAACGAAGCTGCAAACCTTGTAGACATGCAACTGCGGTGTTGTTCAGTACGGCGGCCTGCTATGCCCCAGAAGCAACTTTCCTGTGAAAGCCAAAGCCAGGCATTACAAGATTCGCAACCACTCTTAGCGGTCGGCAGTCTTACATTATGAAGATGGTATAGGCGCTCCGACTCCTTCCTTCTCGACCGAGAATGAGAGCGCCTGGCTCCTACGAATGCATACGTGATTGCCTGCCAATGGTTGGCTGTCAACGTGGAGAGTAGGTACATGTACCTCGCCCGTATAGTGCTCCTGGCCGGAGAAACCTGAGGGTCGTCACACTCACGTGCTCAGGCATTGACACTTCCATCGGTTGGTGCTGCTTGTTCAAGTTGCTTGCGTGGCAGAGGGCAACAAAACAAGAAAAAAGGAATTGTTGTACAGCACACGCTAAAACTACATACATTGTATACTGTATGTACCTGAGGCCAGTCGATGTGATATCAAGCTGTCATCAGGGCTAACTCAGGCGGTAGCTTTTCAGTCTTAACGCGTCACCCCCACCTACCACTACAGGTACCTGTACTCACCTACATGTACCTAGGTACTGTAACCTTACCTTAGGTACAGTAGGACCAACGACGACATCAAATGTGGTAATTGACGAATGCCCCATCTCGTTCCGACTTTCCCCATTTCCGCTTCTGCTCTCCACGCCAGGCGCTAACATCGTGAGGTCGATGGCGTCCGCACTCAAGTCCAAGGTCGCCGGTCTCGCCAGCTCGGCCAGTTCCAGCGCAGCGACACGCGAGGAAACGGAACAATACAAGCTCGTGGTGACTGCAGGACCCTCCTACGACCAAAGCCAACATCAAGTCGTCCAGGTCAACACGGGCGAGGCGACATACGTCGAGAATGAATTCCTCCGAGCCAAGATTAATGTTCGTGTCAGAGGCTTTCGTGGACTTCCTTCCTCTTCGCCTTCAACATCAGACTACTTCGATACTCCCCTGCACGAAAAAGATCAATACTCCCTCGGCTTCTCCTTCGTGCCCAAGCAAGATCTGACGAGTGTGGATACCGTGTGGGGCAACGACCTGGACCATCCCATCCGTGATAGACTGCCACCCGGTTTCAATACAGCCTTCCGCATCGTCAAAGAGTTCATCGATCCCGGTCTCGCGTGTGACGTGTACGCGGACGAGCCATGGCTGTACGGCCCATCACTATCGTGCTGGTTCGCACTGCGTATTGGCGACGAGTATGCAGATGACGCAGATTTCCCCGCGCCGGGCGCCTTCACTGACGGCGCTGATGGGAGCGGAAAAACGATGCGAGACGAGATCGGGATGCCAGAAGACAACGAGAAGCGCAGGAAGTTATTCTTGAGTGCAGAGAATCGGCAAAGAATGGTCTTCAAGAAGGGGAGATTGTACCAAGGTGACTTCTACAATCCGTATCTCGACTTTGCAAATTTTGCTCTCAAACTGCCTGGCTTCAGTCTCAAAGTCATCAAGTACATTGGAGAGAAGACGCATTGCTTGCGATATGTATTCAAGGACCGAGTGACGGGGAACGTGTACTTTAATGTGAATTTCACGCTACTATGGGGTGACAAGCTCCGGCAAGCTTTGGAGAATGATGGAGGAGTTCGAAATCATCATGATCACCAACAGGGAGAGCAGCAAGAAGCTTCCGCGGTATATGGGGAATGCAATGGTAGACCTCGTTCAGAACCCGTGAACGAGGCTACCGAACAGGAGGAGGACAGACAGAGCCGCAACAACAAACAAATGACATCGGGGTCAGCCAGCAAACAACAAACGCAAAACCAGGCCGTGAATAATCGGGAAGACGAATCTTCTTCACCTCCAGAAAAGATGCAACTTCACCCTGGCGATCACGACGCCATAGCGAATTCCCGTGTGAAAATCAGTGCTTCTTCAACAGACGATGGCATCGATGAAATCGACCGACTGCTGCGAGAGACGTCGACGAACCAAAAGCGTCAAGGACGAGTACTAGGCGATGATCCACGCCCATGAATTACCACGGCACGCAAGAGGGGCCCGTGTGGTGAGGAAAGCCTTTGCTTGCTATATAGGTCGGTCTTACGCTTGCAAGCAAGCTGTTTCCTTTTTTTCCTTTTGATTCTTGCGCGTATTGTGCTGTACGACTTACTGTGTGGTTCCAGACACACACCCATTGAACAAACATATCCAAGCACGCGAGCGAGATACTTTTCATAATGTTTTGCAATGCTGAGGAGAGAGAGGGAAAAGCCCCCCCCCCCCCAGCAGTCTGCAGCCAAGTCAATAGAAAGCTGTTGGGAAAGGCAGTACGTAGTAAAATCAGCCGATACCTTATAGAGCTATCGAAAAGTGCCAAAGACGTGAAAAGTCGACTGGAGTGCGTGGTGGTGAGGATCTATCTCTTCAGAAGTCCAACGCGCACGTGCGACTTGGCTAGATCGGCAGAATGTTTTGGGCCCTAAGGAGAGAGAGAGATAGAGAGAGAGAAGGTAACAAAGGCATACCAGATAGTTGAAGCCATTCCATCGTAAAGGTACCGTACCTAGACAATAGTAAATTCCTTCCTCACTTTTCTCGTCACCCATCACCTTTCATACCTAGCTGAAGTGAACAGCTCAAGTTGAAAAAAAAAAGGAACTCTCCTGTCTCTCTATACTCCAACGCTTCCGAGGGCGACACTCACTCATGCGAGATCTTGTGCCAAGATACCATATTTTCTTTTCTTTCCTTCTTTCTAGCACAGCCAAGTAATTCCTTCACTTCAAATTATCGTACAACGGCAACAATGGATAATCATGTTGCTGCTGGAATGCCTGTAGCAGATCCTTTGCGGGAAACGTCTCGGCAGTATTCAGCTCATGCCTGATGACTTGCGTACACAACTCTTGCGTATCCACTTCCAAATTGTGTCCCTGCCATGTAGTCGTCTGGCGGAGAGTCAGAATCAGACGATCGAGCATCATGATGCTCACCAGACACAGACCGAGCACATCGCAGCCTTTGCTCGTCTGCTGTCGGGTTAAGAAACGATGTTCGCTGCGGACCACGACGTTTTTGAGGTGAGCTCGCAGCTCGTGAGCTTTGGCTAGCATGTCGAATCGAACCGTCCATTTCAACTCGTCTCTCGTGGCGACTTTGCAAGTGGCGAAGAGAGTCCGCAGTGCTCGGAAGCAAGATAGAGTCTCACCTGTAGCTTCAGGGTTGAGAGATTGTTTGATGGTCAAAATCTGCAGCAGAGCCTTCCACTGCTTACTTTCAAAGTAGCTGTCGTCTTCGCTCAGAAGTGCTTCCACAAACATGGGAGCTGCCTGTTCGGTGGTAATTTCGCTATTTCGATGTTGTCTCCCTTGTAGCTTTGCCATGGCAGCCACGCCAGCAATGTGTCGCGACCACGAGGACGAGTCTGGCGAGTCCAACATCTCGTAGACGGCGAGCAGCTGAGAGGCCGCGAGCATGTCTAGTCGATCATGGACTGCAGGATCCTGGACTGCCGCGCGCAGGAGATGGAGTGCGTCTGAATAGCAGACCAAAACACGTTCTTCGCTGGCTGCTCCGGATACGACTTGTTGCACTTTGGAAACTACGCAGGCAATGGCCCCATCCAAGTATGGACTTTGGCCGAGAGAAGCGAGTTTGGCGGAGACAGCCCCCCACTGTCGACACCGAAGTGCATCGAGAGTTCGATCTGGCCGGTTGTCCAGGAGCTGGGCTGCCTTGCGTCGGATGTGAAAGGCTGCTACTTTCAACACATTCTCCAGATCGAGATGAGGCGGTAACGAAGTGCATGCCGAGGAGAGGTGCACTCCCAGGATACATAGTGGAGGCTTCTCATGATTGATGCGCTCCCAGTAAATCGCAGGGGGCTGTGTCGGACGCGAAGACCCTCCTGAACACGGTGTGGGAACAATGCGTGTGCTTCTCGATGATGATGATGATGGAGCTATCCGCCGCTTCTTCGGTGGGCGGCATATATCATTCAAGTCCGTCGTCGTCGTCGACGACGCTTCAAACACGTTCTTACGTTTCCCAGCCAGAGCAAAGGTGTTGAAGGTGCCATAGTGAGCCACTGCGGGATTCGACTGCTTCGCACTTGATGCTCGCGACTGAGCTCGTGCATTGCGTCCCGTCGGAGCCGCACCATCCGAAGTGGTCAGAAACAGCAAGGGGGCAGAATCATACCCGTTTGCCATTACATTTACCGTCGTCGCATTTGAGTAATATAGTATTGTGGATAGGTGATACCAATCTAGACATGCCGAGTTGTGCGTAATGTGCCTATAAGCCGCGGTGCAGTTGTGGATTGCTTTTTTCCTTAGCGAGTTGGAGCTGATAAGATCATAAGACAGTCAGGAATTCCGGAAAAGGTAAGCCGAGCCATCCATTCCTTTATGCACCATGCCCTCCCTACTTCCATCTTGTGACTTATCCAAGTTGTCCTGGCAAGAAACGCAAATCATGATGATTTCTCGGCGTTGCCTCTTCATTCAACCTGAATAACGATATGCGGCAGTGGTTTTGACACAGGCAGGAAACGGCTTGAATAAGGACTGCATGCACGGACATGGTGAATACATTAATTATATGGTATCATGTAGACTATGCATCCTGTGGCCGAAGAAGGCGCGCAGGATTTAACCCGAGTATCATCTCATCGAGTTTGTCGTCGTCTGGACTGCTATTCCCCTCCTGCTCAAGTAGCCTTGACATAGGCTAGAAAGGTATTAGTACACACACCACTTGATCACCCAGAAAGTACTTACCAGCATCGATTTTAGTAATTTGAGGCAGAGCCAGTCTCACTTTATTCCTGTACAGCACTGGGTTACTCCTCTGCAACGGGTTGCCCTCAAAGTAGACCTCCTCCAACTTCTCTTTATCCTTGAGTGCTCTTTCCACTTCTTGGAAACTGTCAATCTGGCAATTGCTCGCCCAGACATTCTCGAGACTCTGCAGATCTTCCAACCCTTTGAGTGAGCGGATAGGGTTTGACTGAAAGTCAAGAATCTCAAGTCTCGTACATGCTTTCACTGGCTCCAATGACTCGATCTTGTTGTCCGACACATACAGCTCGGTAATCTGCGGTATGGATTCGATCCCGTTCAGCGACGTAAGTCGGTTCGCTTGTATGCTCAGTGATCGCAAGTTTGATAGTGTGCCCAATCCCTTCAACTCTGCAATCTTGTTCTGGCCCAACCATAGACTTGTGAGCTTCGTCAATGTTTCCAGTCCTTCAATCTCTCTTATGCGGTTGGCACCCAGCTCGAGGTAGGTCAAGTTCGTGAGCGTCTCCAGCCCTTCAATTTTCGATATTCGATTTTGCACAAAATAGAGATGGTCGAGCTTCGTGAGCGCGGCGATGCGTTTGATGTGCTTCAGCTTGTTATACGATAGGTCCAGCGTCGTAAGTTCGGTGAGTTCTTCGAGATTTTCGATGTGCTTGAGCAGGTTGTCGTAGAGCTCCAGCTCTTCCAGCCCTCTGCATGTATCCGGCAGTTCGATCTTCTGGATTTGGTTCTGCCGCAGACATAGCCTCTTGAGACGGGTAAAGCGCTCAAGATGGAGGGCAGCAATCGAACTGATTTTGGAGTGCAGGAGCTCAATCTCCTCAACATCAGGATCCTCGCCTTCCAGCAGGTCTTCGTCTGCTTCGATCTGTTCCGCAGGTGGTGCATCCTCGTCTGAGTAGTCCGAATCTTCTATGGCTTCTGGGTTCGCCAGAGTTGCCTGCTTAGCCACTCTAAGTTTGCCATCCCAGCCTGACTTGCTCTTGGGTGCATGTGATGTCGACGCTGAAGCTGGTGCTGGTGCTGGTGCTGACGAATCGCCGTTGGTCGAGCTGCGGCTCTGTTCGTCGTGCGCGTCGGTCGAGTTGGTGGTATTCGTAGTTTCGGCAAAAACTGACTGTGCAGAGGTTGGCTCATGAGGCGTGTCGGCTAAATCTGACATGGTGCGTAGTGTCTTGACTGGAGGCAGGACTTGGGCAGGCGATGTTCACTGTACATGCCGGAGGTGGAATTATCAGGGTCTCTTCTCTGAGTGGAGGTACGGAGGTAGGAAGAGTGGAGGAGGAATAGAGTTGAAAGTGGGGCGGAAGCGGGCATCGGGACGGAACATCGGCCCGCCGAGCAGTTATTGCATGTGAAATGATGAGGCTCGGGTTCGGCTTATTGGCACGGAACGTCCTCCAAAGTTCAAATCAAATCTATATCTATAAGAACCTACAAAATATATCATCACTCTACCCTTAGTATACTTGGTAGTTATATATCTCAGCTCTCGGCCTTCGCACAGTCCTTGGAGATCACAACAAGGAGGATGTCATTCTGTGCCAATCATGCTCTCGCAATCAACAACGTCGTAATCACCTGCGTCACCCTCGTCGCCAACTGCAAGACAGATTTCTTTTTGCCACTGCCACTGGTATTGGTATTGGTAGCCTCCTCCTCCTCATCCTGTGCACAGCACACATATCTCTGCGCAATTTTATCCGGATGCCATCGAGAGACTTCTGCTTTGAGTTTTTTACGATAAATTTCGCGGTTATTGTTGTTGTGGTTGTAAGCCTGAGTCGCAGTAGTCGCACTCGCACTCGCAGAAGTAGCATGTCCACCTTGTTGTTCGCCCCCTCCTCCAAATGGCATGTTCCGAAAAAAATCCATCACGTCGCGTTCGAATTGGGGAGTAAAGCAGCGATCCTCATCTTCCCGATACTGCTGTTGCAGCTCCAGACCGAGGACAGGTCGGGGGAGGGTAGAGAAGAGCGTTTTGGCGGTGCAGTCGGGTTCAAGTTGGAGGACTTGGAACCAATCTTGCATGTAGGCTTTCCAGCTGGATTGGATTGTTTCTTCGTCGGGTGGCAGCGGGGAATTGTTGTTATTGTTGTTGTTGCGAGTAGTAGTACTACTACTATTACTAACATTTGTTGGATGAGGAGGCGTGGCAAAGGGGCTTTTTTGTGGGAATGCTGATGATGATGTTGATTCAACGAATGAGCGGATTCTTTCTTCGAGATTCTTCTTCTCGTGCTCAGTAGAGCGTTGCAATAACCCCGCTGCTACTGCTGCTGATGCTGATGCTGAATGTTGCTCGCGCTCTCTTGCTGCATGGGTAGCTTGACGCAAGTTTTGGTCGACGTGCCACCTATGTTGTTGTTGTTGTTGTTGGTGGTGGTGCGCTAGAAACGGGCCTGACGCAGCATGTTCGCGCTCAATCATCTCATTCAGACACGGAAGATTAACTTGGTGTCGCACCGCCTTGTGAAGCTCTTCGCGGGCCGATCGTTCGGTGACAGGAGAAGTCGGATGTTTCTGTTTGGCGCTGGTATGCTGCTCCCTTACGGGCATCGATCGTGCTCGAGCGTTTCCCTTGGCGGTGGTGGCGGCAAAATACATGTCATCGTCCATGTGAACTTCGGGATCACTACGAGATCGCAGTCTCCTTTGCGAAGATTTTGGCTCCAAGGTACAGTCCCGCAGCAGTGCATCACGAAGTGTCTGCACCTCTTCGTCGAGTTGAAAGATTGCCGGCTCACCACTGTGCACGTCTTCTACCCATGCTTGGTAGTGCTGGTTGTCGTTGCGTCCATCTGATGCCGATTTTCTGGAGTCGGTTGCGGAGTCTTTGCGCGATGGTTTGTCGCTTCCACTGTTGCCAGAGCCATGTCGGGATTGTCTGCTGGCTCCCAATTTGAATGATCGAGCACTCCTCAGGCCGATCAGAGCTCGCGGTCGGGACGCCGTGGTCGCCCGGCGAGGTCTCAACAACTGTTTGCTTCCTTCCACGACCTTGCTTGTGGCAGACTCGCCATGACCTAGCAGCAGCTGATCGCCCCGAGCTTTGTGGGTGTGAAGCACGGCGATCGATGCCCATGCCATAGCTACACTGTTGATCTGGACCACACTGCCATGCATACTGCAACTGAGCAGGGTCGCAGCATCCATCAGCGCGGCTCTCCATTCCGATGAGTCTTTGCTACCCCAGGGGAGATCCAGCAACTGCTTCCATGCCTGCACTTGCTTGTCCTGCTCAATCTCCCGCTCGCATCGGAATGATCTTCCCGTAACATCGTCCCACTCAGCAACGCAGGTGATGTCCTTCGTGTCCTCGTTGACCAGTTCGAGCACCTCCAATATGTTCCAGGGAGTAGCATCTTTGTTGGCAACATCTGACGGGCTCATGTTCTAGCAGGATGATCTCGTGCTATGCATCAGCGAGCGATTGTCCATAGCGTGAGTCCTCGTGGTCGGTCGACAAAGAGGGAAATCGTGGATTTGTGTGTGTGTGTGCGAGAGAGAGAGAGAGGGGGGGTGTCGGGCTCCCCGGTGTTTGAATCCATTGTTGATGACTGTACACTAGGACGGTTTGGAGGGCGCCAAGGGCAGTGTTCTTCTGGTGGTCCACTGGGAAGCGTGCCGATGTCAGCTCCATCACAAAAGTCTGATATGGATGGAGCGTGGGAGTAAGTCTGGCTCGACCACGCCAAGCTTTCGCGGTCTACCACGTTTCTTCCATTTTCCAGCATCCCATCATCAATACATTGACTTTTGGTATGTTCGCCGCAATGTTCCGGTACGTCGCGTCGCGTAGCCCAGTCTGCCTACAATAGGTATGTTGGAGTGGCTCGTGGAGCCTTGACACTCAAGTCGGAGGTGTTCTCACCTACCTGTACCTGGCACATCATATTCGTCGCAATCATCAACCTACTTCCTCCTTCCACTCGCTTACGCCAATTTCTCAGCCTGCAAAGAAAGAATACTTGGCGTACTTTACACCATCGACTTGTCATTCGTAGCAACCCCAGAATTATGTAGCTCGAAATCCTCCCCAAGTCGCCAAGGCTGGTATGCTGATATCTCACACGCAATGCTGTAGAGCACTGCCGCCGAAACTCCTCGCTCAATCCCAGACATATACATATATGTATATGTATATCACAGCCAGTCCAGTCCTGTTCACCTCATTGGCATCCATGCACACCTTCGTCAGTCAAGTAGGACAGGCGGAAACATTTCTCGCAATTATAGTTAGGTATTACTTTAGTCATCATATCCATCCTCCCTGCACAAATTCTCTTCCTACCAGCTCCAATTGTCCTGCTTCACTCGTTCTCCTCCTCTCCAGCACCCATCGCGGTCTACCGCTACCCTCCGAGTCTGGCTCTTGGACATAGGTGATGCTATCTGCTGCAGACCCGCTCCTCGAGTGTGAGCTCTTCGGCCTGGTCGGACTCATCATCCTGGGCGGTGCCTTCTTGGCCGTGACGGGCTCGGTCACGCTATTCGTGTTTCTCTTGGGAGTGGCGTCAATATCCAGGGCAAAAGAATTGCCATTGCTGGACGTGGCCGACTGCGGACTGTCGTGGAAATTGAATCCTGCGTCCAACGGCAGAGGCTTCGCGCCGGGAGGAATGCTGGCATCGCCACTGCCGGGATTGGAGCCATACTGCGCAGAGTAGTTGCCAACGTATCCTTGCCCTGCACTGTTCCCGACACTGGTATCGATCGTCGGACTCAGCAGGCTGAGGGAATGCTGACTCGAGCGATTCGAGCTGCTTTTGTCACTCCTTCTGCTCCCACCGAACGTCTGTGCTCGCAATCTTCGCAATTCGTCAAACGAGATGACGTCGTGTTCTACGAGCGGAGTAATAGGCAAGCGGGACATTGCTGGTGAGGGATGTCCATACCCACCAGCGCTTGGTGGTCCAAAGCCTGCCATGCCAGCCACAAAACTGTTCCGCGTACTGAACTCCGACCGTTCGGTAATGGGCGTCAGATTGGGCTCCCGGGAGCTCTTGTTTCTTTGCAAACCATCATCGCCATCGGGTCCAAAGAAACCACCATTGAACGCTTGAGCTTCGATCGAGTTTGCCCTAGGACGACCATAGAACTCAAATTCCTGTCCATAGAAGCCTTCGTCGTCGCTGGCTAGCACCTCAGCATTTGCAGCAGCTACCAGATCATCGTCCTCGTCCTCGTACCCGCCAAAGTCACTGATGGCAGATTGATCAAATCCAAAATCGAAGCTCATCTTGCGAGGACTATATTCTGGGGCTTGCGATAGGTGGCTCAGCTGGGTATCGCTGCGATCCACTGCGCTCTTGCCATTGCCGAAAGGCATGTGAATCTCGCCGCCATCTTCATTCTGTGAGTACATACTCGCGTCGTCTCGCATGCTGTGCGCATCTACGGCGAGATGGGTCACAACGTGGTTAGGCTTGTTGACCGAGCTTGCAATGGTCGAAGCAACACTAGGCTGACGATAAAATCGACCTTCACTCGCTGCTCGATTGGCAGCTTCTGCCAGTGCCGCATGGTACTTTTGCAGGCTGTTTTGCATGCGCAACAGGGCTTCCGGGTTGCCCTCAGACACGGGAACAGGCGGCGCTTTATCGCTTAAGCCCAGCCTTTTCGCATCTTCGGACGGGTTTCGCTGTGGAATGTACTTCGGATCCACAGGTGCCTGTATCGGCAAGTCTTCTAGCATCAGTTGGGAGTTTCTCGCGAGCGCTTTGCTGGCATTAGGCACTGCGAAGGATGGGTATGGCCCGTCACTGCCCATGCTTTCCAGTGACAAAATGCTGTTCTTTTGTCGGTGGCCGTATCCCTGAGGACCGTTAAAATTAGCGTTGGGTCTATACAAGAAATTATCGTCGTCGAAAGCGTCCTCGTCGAAGCCGCTCGCGGCGGGGATGCCGTCATCGAAGTCTTCACCAAAATTGCCATCATCGAAGTACATATCATCTTGACCATCGTGAAAGCCCTTCTTCCCATCGTGAGAATCGCTTTCCGACGATTCCTTGGCAAAAGACTTGCCGATGACATCCATACCCGCGGCTGGCGGCATTGTGTTGGCATTGTTGCTGCTGGGGGGCCTCGCCGCATTGACGAACTCGCTCTGCTCTCTATGAGAAGTAGTGGCAACACTTGGGCTGCCAATGCCTTGCTGTGGAGTTTCCGGAGATTTCTTCCACGGTGGCACGGGACTAGTCGTTGCGATAGATGCCTTCTTCAAATGTATTGGCGGAGAGGAGGCTGGGACTATCTGCCTGCCACGTGGGTCTGGGACTACACCACTCTGGCTGTCACGATCGGTGCACGGGACCGCCGTTACATTTGACTTCTGTGTGGCATTCGCAGTATGGCTCACGGGGCGCCGCCCATCTTCTCGCGGGGAATTAGCATTCAAGACATTGTGCGGTTGACCTGCAGAGGAACTCGCATCCGCGACAGTGGAGGCCAGAGTTGTGCTGGTCAGTGACGGTCCGAAGTCGAAAGCTGTGAAGTTACTCAAGCCGAGACCAGATGTATTCGGCGGTGGCGAGCTATTCTTGCGCGTCTTGGTCGAAGGACTGCCAATTCGCTGCAGGTCGCTCTCGCCTTTACTTATCCGCGGCCCAGCAGTACCGCCATCATACTGTCCTTTGCCCGGTGAGGGGGGGTTCGCTCCACGAGCTGAATATTCGAAACCCGTATCGCTAACTGTGGACAGAGGGTTGAAGGTGCCCGCTTCAGAAGTATTTCGATTGACTTTATTGCTGGGTGAGCTGAACCTATCGGCAAGCGCAGAATTATCTCTTTGCCAACCTGGCTGGTTCGCATCCCCTGTCGAGGAGATCTGCCAACGATTTGTGCTCGTCGATGATTGCGGATCGTCTTGGGCACTAGCAAGCTTTGGAGTGGTTTGGGAGGACAGCGTTTGCATATCAAGACTACCTGTACTTGCATGCGGCCTGTCATCGTCAACAGCGGACTGACCCTGTCCACCGACGACCTTCGATGCTTCGTGCACTTGGTCCAGGGGATCGACCTGTTCAGAGCTCGGCGTCGCCCCCAGAGTGCTGAAGCTGAAGCCGCTGACCGCACGATTCCGTTCGCTATTGCCACTGTCTCGATGTGGTAGCATTGGCTTTGCTGACGTTGTCGTGGCCAAAAAGGCTTGTGATTGACCGGAAACTCCCAAGTTAGGCGGTTGTGGACGCGAACATCGTTGACTGTCTCTGTCGAGTGCGCCCAAGTAGTCCTGTGAGTGGCCAGCATTGAGTCCGGAAGATCCAAGGGCAGGGTTCATTCGCGACACGCGACTCTGCGCCGCAGCCGGGTTGTAGGAGTCTCGCATGTACGAATCGATTGTGCTGTCCCGCCAATAGCCGTCAGGTGTATCTGTCATCATTGAGTTGTGACGAGAGTTGCCACCCATCGCAGAGTGGGCGCGAAACGCTGGGTGTTCTGCATATGGCAGATCCTTCTCATCTGTAATTTGCGGAACTTCATCGTCGTACAACGATTCTCCATCACTGTCGGGTTGTTGCAAAGCTTGACGAGCTTGCTGAAGATATTGCGAGCTTTGTGACGTGCCTGCATTAGAAATGGTGCCCAGCTTCGATTGAGGATGCAGCATCGGCCGTGGTTGTTCGAAAGACGATGCTTGCATTTCGAGCTCGTCCATGTCGTCCATTGCGTCCTCGTCGAAGTAGTTATCGTCGTCTTCGTCAGGACTTGTGGCCCGCACAATCGGATCGGTGATCTCCCGAGACACAATCTTGCGATGTTTCTCTTCGAGCGCTTGTTCTTGGGCGGCACTCTCGCCACCAAATTGGAACGAGAATCTGCTTGCATTACTGGCGTTCTTCTTAGGGACGGCTGCACTTCTCCGTGAGTGGCCAGCAGCAGAGGCTCTCTTCTCGACCATTTTGAGCTGTGCTTGTTGTGTGTGGAATGTAGCTGCATCCTGCATCAATCTTGGTGACTGTTCAGGGGCGGAGAAGTCTACCGTCCTGTCTAGCACGGACTGTGTCGAGGGAGATGCAGTATTGGCCTCCAATTTCAACGCTCCCAATGTCTCAGGCGCCCCGGGACTGCGAGGGGTCGTTATTGAGGCACCACGCACAGGGTATTGTGGTTTCTGCACATCAGATATACTGTTAGTAGCCTCAACGGGCAAATTGTCTCCCGAACCCTCTGTAATTGAGTTGTTCTGTGGAGGAGCAGTAAGCGCAATTGAATGTGGCCACAATGTCTTCTCGGTTGCAGGCTTACGCCAGCTGTCATTAGCCGAGAGCTTGCTGGCGTTTGAGTCGGCCAATGCGGGATTCAGATGCGAGACTGGTCGGGAGCCATAGGGGCTGGTCGGACCTGCGGAAATAGGACTGATGGCAATATGTCCACTACTGCGAGCAGTGACTGGGCTGATCTCGCCGCCATTGCTCGGAGGGGAGCTGTATCCCTTATGACTCGAGGGGTCACTTGAACGCTTAGAATCTTCGTCTTGGAAGTAGCTTGCTTGTAGAGGGTCGAGCATCTGGCTACGGCGAGCAAATGGGGGCAATATCGCGCTTTCTTGCGAATGTGCTGTTGCGGTGGAGTGCTTTGATGCCCGTTGCAAGAATTCCTTGTTTTCTAGATTTTCTGCGTGTATGGAGCTGACTCGTTTCGATGATTCGGGGTTCTCGTCCAAGTTCTCTACAAAGATTGGAGTGTGCGTACTTCGACGTTGGCCCTCCTTTGGACTCCTGTTTCCACGATTGACCAGAGACGCATGCCGTGGTGGAAAAGTTGCTGGCGACGAGGGCTGTGCATTGCCGAAGCTCTGCTGCATAGTCGGCGGTGAAGGCATGTCGTTTTCGTCGAATGTATGTCGCTTCTCCCTCGGTGCGCTGAAGTCATGCACAAGCTTGCCTTTGATTCTTGGATCAAAGTCAGGAGGCGGAATCTTGACGCCAGACGCCAGAACATCCCTTTGCCTCGCGAGCGCTTGCGCTTGAGCTTCACGATCGGCTCTTTCCGCTTCCACAGCATCCGGGTCTTGAGAGCTTCGCCGCCGCTGGAGCAGCAGCATGGGATTGAGCAGACGGCCTTTCTTTTTCGAAACCACCGACTTGCGCGAATCCGATTTGGAGGTGGTCTTGGAGCTCGTATGATGAGTCGGTACGATGACACCCGCAACACTGGAGGTGACCCCCAATGTCTTGGGGCGTGTTTTGACGTGCTGCGGCAACGGGTATGAATCTGCTGTCGCGCCATATGGCATTCCTATCGTCGTCGACGCACCAGGATACACGGCCGTTCTACTGGACGAGTGAGTGCTGGGGCGAGCCGTGGATCCGCTGTACTTTGAACTCTGGGCGAGCTCCTGGAGGCTGGCTTGTGGAACGAGGGCTCTGTTGCTATAGATCGGAGCCGGCCCTCGCGAAACTGACACGGGTGTTTTCCCATTGGCGCCTGGGAGGTTGGGCGAGCTATGGTTCCCCTTGAGCGTCGCGAACGACTTCGGAGGCTGACTACTGTATGGCTTGTCTCGGCTGTCAATGAAGGATCGATTCATCGACGGCAGTGGCGGCGACGGTATCTGGGACAAGACGGGTGTATCGGAGCGCATTGGGAAGAGCGAGGCCTCCATCTTCATACCGCTGATTGGATCATCGCTGTGACTGCCATGTGCGGTTTTGGGCCTTTCGTCCTTCGTGCGAGACATAGATGTGTCGGGAAGTGGCATGGGCGCGAGATCGTCGAATGCAAAATTGGTGCTCAATCGATGGCTCATTACAGACTGTTTTCTGACCAACAATGTATTCTGTTTTCCTCTTCCTTCTCCTCCTTCTTCTGCTGCTGCGACTCCTCCCGCACTGTCAACAGCCTCGCGGCCTACGCTCTCGCCAGCCTGCCAGCCCGCCTCCCGCGACTCTCCTGACGTGATGCGCGTCGCGCTATCGCTCTTGCTATTACTCGGGGCCGGCCATCCATCGCTCAGCTGCCGCGCAGACGAGGTTGCGGTGTTGGGAGTGGTGGGCTCGAATGGCGATGGGGGCAGCTCGAAGTCGAAGGTCATCTGCAAGGGCGAGATGGGTGCTGGGTCATGGACGGGGCGCGTGGCGGTGGTAGCAGCGATGTATGTCGATTTGGAGCTCGCCCGCTGATGCGGACGGCGCGCCTTGTCAAACATCCCACGCGAAGGGGTGGCATACACAGAGTGGTACAGCAGATTAACTTCTGCTGCGAGCCAGGATGCTCTTTTCAGAGAACCAGAGGTACGGGAATCCGTTTTTTGCAATTTTATGGCCTGTGCTTCCACAATCCCTCCCCCCTCCCTCGCTCCCTGCTGCTGCTGCTGCTGCTACTGCTGATGACTGGGAGTGAGCAGCACACTGCACAGGTCCGGTCGTATTGTGATGATGGTGATGATGGTGACGATGGTGATGATAGTGATGATGAGGATGATGATGATGATGAGGATGATGATTGGGCCAGCGGGGGCCAGCAGTTCATCTCAACGGTAGTCTTCGAGTCTATCGCCCGCAAGACGAAAAGTCAGGTCGGGTGCCTACAGGCTTCCCACCATAGGTACAGAGAGATGCATGTACCTCGCACTGTGGTCTCCCGCGTGTACCTACTAGGGGAGAGTCGTCCCTCATGGGGTGATGAGTGAAAGCGACACAGCATGGAACAAGAATAGAATCACTGGCAGGGAAGGCAATCTACCTTAGGGTTGACTAGTGCGAGGATGCGCGCAAAAGGGCTGAAGGGGATCACTAGGAGCTAGGTGGCACGAGGGAGAAGAAAAAGAAGAAGAAGAAGAAGTGGAAGTGGAAGTCCGGGTGTCGATCATTGCAATTGATTAAACTTCACTTGACGGATAGAACTAGGAGGTAGCATGCTATTCTGGTCAGACTGTTTCAGCAGGGGGCTGCCCTCCGCGGTACCTCCTACTTCAATACCTCCTAAGATACATAGATTCGGTAGCAGTGATTCCGGTCCTTCTGGTCCATCTGGTCGGTCTGCTGTGCGTTGCCCCCGTGGACCCAACAACTTGTTGCATGAGTATATTGATGCAATTAGGACGAGCCGACGGTAGGTGATATTCGAGGGGGTCGGTCGAACGACTGCACTGCCATAGCCGAGGGCTTCCGTCTGCCAAGCCAACCCACGCCATGCCATGCGGGCATATAGCGAGGAGAGAGAGAGAGAGAGAGAGAGAGAGAGAGAGAGAGAGAGAGAGAGTTGGGTGGCTGGGCTAGGAAGATGGTTGAACAGAGGAAGAAGCAGAAGTAGAATACTACCTACCTGGTAGTAAGCATCACGAATACCTCGAGAACAGTGCTGCCTTCCTAAGTTCGTCTGGTTGGAGGTACGGAGGTAGTTCACCTGCACGGCTGCCTCCGAGGCTCCGACCTCCGACCTCCGAGGCTCTTATCCCAAAAGAGCAAGTGGGCTGCTCTATGTGCTTAGTCATGAGCGATGATGATGTCGCTTTACGAATCATTATTACATGTACCTACAGGTACTGACCTAATGTATGTCTGGGCCCGCATGTTCGTTCCCCAAGGGAGGTAAGGTACCTCCTAGAATATGAGTTGTCACTTTGACTCCATATTTGAGTGATCATCACGTCCCTTACCGGAAGCAGGCAACGGAAACCAGTCGGTCGACAACATGGCTCCAAACCAGGTGCATCTCCCCAATGGCCAGACACTGAATGTCACGCCTGTGTTTGGCGGCCTGTACTTCAGGTCGAATGACTTGAGCCAACACCACAATGTCTTCCCGCCCGGCTGGACCATCATTCTGAACAGCGAGCACGACGGGCACGATGATGACGACGACGACCGTGAGCAAGAGCCGGAGCGAGGTGCGGACGGCACTGTCAACCCCGATGCGACTCCACGGGCAGAGACAGAGTCGAGGAAACAGGGCATCCATCGTTTTAGGCGGCCGAGCCTCAAGAATGACCATCTATACATATCGTCCATCTCCAATCCCGCCTCGAGTGAGTTCCGCCCGCCGACGAGTCCCACGCGGCAGATTGCCATGATGCTGTGGGCGACTCTGTATTGGTACTTCCACCAGCAAGAGCCGGAGCCACAGCTGCGGACGGCTGCTTCGCACGCCACGCCCGACGCCGGCAAGCCTCAGGGCGAGTGGAGGATCTATATCAACAAGGAAGGCATCTTCAAGAGCAAGCACGTCTTGCCCAAGCTGGAGCGAATGGGCCTGGTCGCTTCAGAGGACTCTTCGGTAGGCCTGGATCCCATGGACGGGCTCAGCACCTTGACCGAGAACTGGAACAAGATGTTCGTCTCGAGAAGGACGTTTTGGCAGATGGATCCCCGCATATATCTCTTCACCTTGACTCCTTTGCAGACGAGCTATCCCGCAATCAGCCCCAATGGCAGCCGGCCCTCCAGCCCAAGCCGAAACAGCAAGACACATGACACCGACGGTGGCAGCAACCTGCGAGAAGCCGCCGCTTCACAGTCCACTAGCATGGCCCGTGCCGGACCTCCAGGCCCCTTCCACTCTGCATCACATCTACCAACATACTATCCTCCTCCGCCAGTTCAATATGGCTTCACGAACAACTGCAGACATCCCATACGTCCCAAGCCCCCTCGACAAGGCGAAACCTTCTATATTCGCTATATTCCCAGCCTAGGCCAATACCTCACATTCCGAGTCGCCTCACTGAGCAAACGCCCCATCACATATCCGGGCCCATTTTCACAAGCAGCTCCCGACGCATCACTGACAACAGGCGAAGCTCGTGAAACAACCAATATGACCGATGTCGAACTGCTTCACAAGTGGATGAATGACCCTCGTGTATCCCACAGCTGGGGTGAACAAGGTGCTCAGCATCACCAGGAAGAGTTCTTGAAAAATGGTCTACTCTCCAAACACTCCATTCCCGTGATAGGATGTTTCGATGGGAAACCTTTTGGATACTTTGAGATCTACTGGGTGAAAGAAGACAGACTGGCAAGCTACCTCGGCGGAGCAGTAGATGATTTCGATCGTGGCCTACACGTACTCGTGGGAGAGCAAGAGTTTCGAGGGCAACACCGATTCAAAGTCTGGATGAGCGCTTTGGTGCACCTTTGTTTCATCGGAGATTCGAGAACCAACGTGGTGATGATGGAGCCGAGAGTGGATAATGAAAAGTGAGTCTCCAGCAGCACCATGTGTGTGGAAGGCGGCACATGGCGCCGTGCTGATTGATCGAGCTCGCGTTGTGCGTGCGAGCCAGCTAACATGATTGAACAGGATCAAAAAGTATTGCGAAGACGTGGGATTCTACAAAGAACGAGAAATCTCCTTTCCGCACAAGCAAAGTAATTTGCTCAAGATTCGGAGGGAAGCGTGGCAAGCACCTGCGATATAATAATGCTGGAGACGAAGAACAGCGGCTTGCGACGATGAGGACACCACGACAGCAGAAGTGGAGCGATATACCGGATACGTTTGTTGAGACCCGTGCGAGACCAATCTATCACCAAAGACTGGAAATCGACAGAACTCAAAAAATCAAATTCAATGGTATCTTGCACTACTGAGCCAAACGAAAGGGAAAGCAAAAACAAAAAATAATACATAGCAAGCCGCACCCCCTTCCATGTCATCTGTCCCAGAATATCGACGGCTCATGCCATCATCCCTCATGCCTTCATTTCGGACACCATATAAAAAGAAAAGGAGGGGAAAAGCGTGATGCTACAAGTTCCGCATCCGCTGCTAACCCACTGCCGTCACGAGCACTTGCTGAGTTCCCTTCTGACACACCGCACCACACACAAACACACATACTGGTCTCCAGTGATCAAACACCCGGTCAGACCCGTCCACTCCCAAAACTGACCCTTCCTTATCTATTCAGCCTGGAGTTCCCCAGAGACTGCGAACGAGCACCATCACTACTACGCCTCTCAGACCCCAACCCCTAGCTCGGCCTCCTGACCGATCGAATCTCCACCAACTCATCCTCGCTACTATCGTCGTCGTCATCGATGCCACCATCTCCAAACCCGCTGGGCGGATCTGCAAAAGGACCTCCTTGTGCCGCCGCTTCCAAGACGAGTTTTCTCTCCAGACTATCCGGCAGATCATCCGGTAAATCGCTGATTTCCAGATCCTCTGACGACGAAGAAGTATCCCCGTCATCCAAGGGTCTTCGCACCGCAGCTTCCGTCGTATTGGGTCGCCGAATGGACCGGCGACGACGGGGTGCACTGGGGCTCTCGTCCTCGTATTCACCGCCTTCTCGCGTCAAAGTGTGGTCTCGGCCGGCTTCGTCTTCGTCGAGACTGGAATCGTCATTATCATCGTCGTCATCATCGTCATCGTCATCATCATTGTCCGAATCATCACTACTACTGAATAGTCCGGAGAATTTGCTGCGACTTCCTCGGGAAAGGTGGCTGGCTCCAGAAACCGTTCTCAGACCAGTGATCTGCAGACCCTCTGGATCTTGCGCCTGTGCCATGTTGGATAGTTCCCAAGGTTCTTCAGGGAGATCGGAAGCGACTTCGAGGGCGGATGCATCGGCTGCATCAGGATCGTCATTTGATGGTTTGTCCTGATTTCGCTGTGCTAGTCGAGCAGCAAGTGTTCTTCGCGCCCTCGATGGCGGAATGTTGAGAGGCTGCACAGCACCAGTTGCATCTACGTTCGAATCTGAAGATGCATGATCCTACTCAGAGCAAGAGTGTCAGTAAGTATTATTCAGAACGGCTTGCACCAAATCATGCCTCTCAAGACCTGCATGTGTAATATATTGTGTTGGGAGAGGACGGGATTGTGCTGGGATTGTGCAGTGCGGAATGATCAAAGGCAGAAAGCAGAGTTCGGCAACACAAAAATGGCACCCAAAATTAGGCAAAGTAAGCACAGGTCGCTGATCACCCTGCAGTATTACAGTATAACGATCATGGATAGGGAACAGAAGCGAAGCTAGTGCTGTTGCGTGACCCTGGTTCCCAAAATCGCCAAAACTGTACGAAGGAACGGACCGCGGATGTCAATTGAACCCAAAAGCAGCCATCATCATCTCAAAGCGAAAAAGTACGTCGGGAGTCCAAGCTCCTGTACTGTATGTACATGTACTCGATGATGTTGTCGTTGCCGAAGCATTGGGTGAACTGGTGTGGAATAGGTCTCGAAGAGTTGTGTGTGTGTGTGTGTGTGTGTGTGTGTGTGTGTGTGTGTGTGTGTGTGTGTGTGTGTGTGTGT